GCATTAAAATAAACCCCACATAGACACAGCTCTGAAACTGTACCAAACTTACTCTTTGGCATAGACAGATGTTAGTAGCTACTGTCCGAGGCGTAGCTAGGACTAGTGGTGTGCGTGAGTGATCCCAGGCTGTATTCATAGCATGTCCTGGTGCACACAGATACACTAGGAGACAGGCTGACACTCGCTCAGCTCCACCCGTAGAGGAGAGAAGACAGCCCCAGCGCAGCCAATATCCCCTCCCTTCAACCCAGGCCTCTTCTCCGGATGTTTCTGGTTAGTAAAAGCTGACAGAGGGTTTGCCATGCCTCAGAGGAGAACAGAATGAGGAATTTCGGCGTTCCTCCACATCACCCTTTCAGATGGTACACCCCCCTTCACCCATCACCCACCCCCGCCCGCCGTCACCCACCCAAGGGCGCACACTAACACAAGCTGAGGTGTGCTGCTAAGATGGGCTGTCACCTCGAATGGAAATGGAAAGAGGCACCCACATCCGTTATCTAAATGTTAACTCCGGTGCCCTTCTTGTTGTCACAGGCGGGCGAGGTTAGCCAATACCGGGCCGGGAGGTTTGCTTGGGCCCCTGCCACTGTGCTCTCCTCCTGCAGCGGGGCAAGCAGGCAGAGTGGAGCTGTGTGGAGCGATGGAGCAGGGGGTAAGGCTGAACCATACACTGTATATATAAATGGACGTAGCTAAATTGCTTGCCGCCACATTCCAAATAGAAAGAGAGCATGGGTGTGTTTCCAGTTCCATCGACTTTGGCTCCAATTCACTTTACATTAAAAAACTGTTGTCCCTCTCTCTGTAACTGCTGCACTGAGCCTCGTCATTTTGGTTTTAAAATGTTCTTATTAATCCACTCAACACAATCCTGATTTTGCTATTTTGTCAGTTAATTCCTATTCCTAACATGGAACTTGGCCCCTCAACTGCTAGCTTTGTGAACTTCATTTGCCTGGAGCTGAACACTATGGGTGATGTCACACTCCTTTAGTTCACTTCTTTATGCAGTCTAATGGCCGAACTGAGCAATTTGTGTACAGTATCTAATTGAGTGCTTTCTGACAAGCATTGAGATTGCGATTTACGATTAATTTTTCAATAACAGGATTCTGTTCAAAGTTCATATTTTAAACATGTCCAGAAGTATTGAGAAAAAGACTGAAATATGAACTGACATAATACAAGAATCAGAAGATATTTGTACAGGCCTAAACTAAAAACACTGCATGAAACACAAAAGTTCAAAAAATATGGTAAAGTAAGTATTCTTTACAAGATTTATTTTTGTAGTTACACAGTGAAATCAGAATCATATTTTAAATGTAAACTATATTTATTATGTGAGTATAGGGATTTTGTTTCTCTCCACCTCGAGTATTAATAACACTATCCATGTCACAAGAAAAGCAGTTTTGGTAGTTGTAAAAATATATTCTCTGGGTTAAATTTTAGGGTGAGAAAGTTGAGAACCTTTGACCCAGTCCAGGGCAGGTCACGTTCACGAGGGGGTCCTGTCCCGTGTGGTGCAGATTAATCACAGCTTGACATGCAGTCCCGCAGCACTCCTCCAGGGGCAGAGTACAGTGTGGGGGAGCATTTGTTTTCTTTCTCTTTTTTAGTTTAAAACAGCATATGTGTAATACGGAGGGGTTTGACAGACAGCAATAATAACATTACACAAATACAAACATGAGAAGTGAAAACCAACGCAAACGAGAGGTGATGAAATGATAAAGAAGTACATTTATTGATTATTGTCATAGCAACCATATACCTATACATAGGGACAAAATTTTCATGAAAGCAGGCAGGAAGAAGCCCTCCTCCAGGCCAGTCAGGTTTATGGAGATGCAAGCCAGCTCAGAGGACGTGCGCTTTTTCTGTCCAATAACTAGCAAAAATGAAAAATGCACACGCTTTTACTTTAGTCTATTTTTTGGGAAAAAAGTTACATACTGTGGTTGTTAATTAATGCAAATTTTGAGACATCCAAGAATAAGATATTATCATATTAAATGAAAACAACTGGACTTAAACGCCATGGCAAAATCTGCACTAACCCTAATTAAGCTATCTGGTTGGTGATGAATTTGCTTCATAAATAAGTTCAGTTGTTTTTGTTTAACTTGCTCATAATACTATGGTATAAAAAAATAAGGTACATTTTGAATTTGTGTATTTTATTTTTTGTATGTGGTATATTGCCAGCAGAAAGCAGCCCGAGGAGCAGACGACTGGCGACAAGTGGACAGTTGGGTGGACAGACTGGAGACTGGGTCCTTTGGGTGCAGTATTTACGCTCCGTTGAGGGTGGAGGAGCTGGGTATATTTAGGTGCTCTGAGATATCACGCTGAGATGAGATTTCAAAGTGCAGTACCTGTTTGAAGATGCGTGGCATTCCACAAGGGTGGGCAGGAGCTCCGGAGCATAAATCTGACAGGGCTGCACCTGGTGTAAAGAGAAGGAGGCACAGGGACACCACCATTTAAAAGACACATGTGGACACTACAACACCACTGGATATATTTACATACTGCTCATGCTCCAATTATGATAAATATTTGTATACATTAATAGAACTGGGAGGATTACACTGCACTTTCGTCGTGCGTGTGGACACTATCACTGTTCACGGGATCCATTTACATTCTGCTAAAATTATAATACATATTTTTATATCGTTCTCATATATTAATGGAATGGTACTGGTTTATAATTAACTATTTATACAGAGGTATTTTTATTACTGGAAAATGAAGGTAACTTGACACAAACTTATTTTCTTCTACGTGTAGGTCACTGTTAATGTGAATTCTCCCTGATAAGTAGACAAGTAAACTTTAAATAAATCAGTCAATATATAAAAATATATAGTTTACATATTACACATGGTATACAATTTGGCACAGTTTCCACAACTGCAATATTATATTTCATCTGTTATAAGAGTCAACTTTATGTAGCAAGGGATCTCGACATATTAAATTAGTACTAATTAATGTCTTGTAAAAACAACCTTTAAAGTGGTAGTAGTGCAGTATGAACATTTCTAGTGGAGGGTCTGCCACCTGATGTCTCCATGGAAATGTTATTGCTTTGTCTAGAATGTTCCACAGTATAGATTAAGCCTCTATCTAAATCTGTTACAAACGACACGAGCAGGTTATAGCACTATGTTACATTACAATTCAGATCTGTGGAGAGTCACCCCTATTGACAAAGGAATTATTGTATTTTGCGCAATAGAAACACCCGTTATGAATAAATGCTAGATGGATATGTTTAATGTCATACATGGAACATTCAAGGCAAAGCAATAACATCTCCATGAAGACAAGCAGGTGGTGGACCCTCCAACAGAAAAGTTGCATAGTGTGCCTTTATGTTTTTCCTAATGTATTGAAGTTTTGACTAAGTTTTTGACCAACCACATGAGAATCAATAGGATGTTTTGGGCTTCTTTCTCTGTCTGTACTCTATGGAACATAACAGTGAGCACCAAGCCAACAAATTTCTCATATATTTTTCTCATAGACATTGAAAAAAATGTATATTAAAAGTTCAAACGTTTGCTTGGGGATAATCAGATACATGGTAACTAATGACCACAAGACCTATAATTTTGGGTCTGAAACTTTATAAACAGTAAAGTCTTAAAAACATTACACATAATCTTGCATTGTTGGACTTAAAACAACCACATTATGGATATTAGTTAGCACGTAGCTGCTTAGCATCTGCAACATCTTTGAAATCTGAATATTTGAAATTTTAGTCTAGAAAAATGCATGGAAAATTTACTTCTGGAACAGGAGCAGGCAGCCACTGTTGAGCTCCATAGAGTTGGATCCATGGATTTGACTGGAGCTGAACACTATGGGTGACGTCACACTCCCTTAGCCCACTTCTTTATACGGACTGTGGTCTATACTGGATCCATCTCTATTCATTTGTAGGACACAGAATGACTTGGTGGCATTTGCTCTCCCTCTCAGCGCTGTGTTAAACTGAACCTCACTGCTGCTGCTGCTGTGTGGACATGTTTGTTATGGGCCCATTTTGTAAAGCCATTACATTTCCCCAGAGCCTGAGTCATTAATCAAATATTCATATGTCCTTTGTAAATACATGGAGAACACAGGCCTTCAGTGGTCTCACACAAATGTCCTTTCATGTTTCCCTCCAAAATCCCCAAATCCTTCTCTATAAGCTTTTCTCATCTATGAAACCATGAATCCACTTCCTTCCCATCTTTTAAAACTCAAGAATGTCTTTGGATTGTGCATAATTGATGTCCCAGCGCCGTCCACACCTCAAACAGAGCCTGATAAACATACACATGGACTGGGGGCTATGAAGGATGTCTTTATGCACACTGTGTTGTTGCATCTCCATGGTAGAAACTGAACAGATGTGGGATTCTTCTAGCCTTCTGTCTGGCTGTGCTCACCCTTAACCCCAGCTTCCACAAGACAGAGTCAGTTCCTCCATTTGAAAAGCAGGGCCCATCATAATACAAGAATTTGTATTGTACATGAAAACAGAGGGACATAGCCGGAGGAGAGAGGGGCCAGCAGACATATTAACCATGGTAACGGAGCATCGCACACTGGGATATTTTCGTTTCCTTCGCACAGGAACACAACTGCCGCCAGTGTCACCAGGTCACAGTGTTTCCGTCCCTGGTTAATGGGCTGTAGAGATGGTTAGCACGTACGATTAGTTTTAATCTGCTACATTTGACTGCAAGAGGAGGAATTGAATACATTTCAACACTCCACTGAGGTTAGGATTCACTATTGGAAAAACTGGGAAACTCAGCTAAACAATGTTGGTTTCTCGAGCAAATCAAACATGTGAAATAAAACTTTGGGAAACTTTGAAACATGAAAAAATAAAAGAACAAAAAATATACATGAATAATTTTATTTAAATTATAAAAAAAGAATGTGCATATGGCATTAATTTCCATTTACAATACTGATTTTTAGAAATGTGAAATTATAGTACATGAGCCACAAAAACAGTAAAATTATGTACTTCATTAACCTATGATTCAAGTGTTGGTTAATTAAATGTTAAATTAACTTTTGAGGTTTGCAAAATGAAAACGCTTGCTGCCAAGCGTTCAAAGACGACATACAAAAATACACATTTACCTGCACTAGAATATATACATTTAAATCAATTCAGATTTACATATTGCTTAAAATATTGGCTTCTTTAATAGAGCATTTTGTTTCTAATCTACGCCTTCATTTGTTGTGAAATGTTTTGGCAAAGAAGTATCGTGGTTGTTAAAGATATTGCTTTTTAATGTTTGCTTTTGATACTAATTATTACCAAACTAAAATAACTGGACTTCAAAATAAGAATTAACTGCAAATGGAGCCAACACTGTAACAAGGAATGACATTACAGATAGGAGCCAATGAAATTCACTTCCACTTGCCCTTCTCTGGTATTATAGCACCCAACCAAAAGTGTGCAGTGTGAAGACTAAAATAGTAAGACTATAGCTTTAAATAGTCAGACTCATTTCATAACTGCCTAAGTATTATTTATTTTAATGTAATAGTTCTTGCCAGTTTTTTTCAGTTTCACCTTACTCCTCAGACCTTGCTGTTATCTGTAAGTGTCACAGGCTCTGTCTTTGACCAATCAGAAATATTTTAACATCTTAAATAAAACCACAAACCGCCCCCACCATCCTACTGGCATTGGCTGTTTGCTTTTTAATTTTCCTGAAAACTTTGAAAAATTACTTATATATAATTACGCTGTAAGGCTAGCGAATTATGGTCCAACATCCTGACTAGTTCATATTTAGTTGTATGGAGTGCGTTATCAGTAGTTTGCATGTGTCAAAGCAGCACAAAGTCTCCTGTAGTTGTGACTGTGCGGCGAATGAAGGGCCACTCTCTCTTCTCTGGGTTCAGACTCGCAGACAGGTCATAATCTCTGCTTCGACCTTGGACAATAGTGAACACGGGGTATTTCTCTTTGGCTGAGGGCTGCAGTAGCTGTGAAAAACCAGACAAGAATGATGTGAAATTGAACTTTTTTGAAAATAACTACAATGGCTAAATAATGAATACAAAATATGTGAGTAACATAATAGGACGTTAAAGCTTAAAGACTGCCCAGTGGAAATTTAAGTCAAAGGAGCATTTTTTGGTACAGAAATTTTATGAGATTTGGTTTAGATTTTTTTTAAATGGGACTATTAACTAACAAATATTAACTTGCCCAGGAACTATAGGTGGAAATCAGCGTAAGTTAAACTCAGGTAGAACGCATTTTTCCTGTTATGGTTAATGTATATCATCCACTGTCAATATCTTAGTAAACAAATTTTTTTAAAAAACTTAAAAAACTACAAGTGATTTTCAACCTTCTTTGAGTGGCAGCGCACTTTTTTGTTGTTGAAAACATACCGAGATAGATCCACAATCCATGAAAACATTATCACATTACTCTAATTAGAAATAAAATTGTGTAAATAATGTGCAATTATGTCGTGATACTTGGATTTTGCAATAGTGGAAATTTGATTTTGTAGTAGTGGTAATTTTTGTATGCTTCCTAGTTCAGAGGTTTACGCAGGGCACCCCAATATGACAATTTATGACATTAAATAATTGTGTAATTAGTTAATTCAAATTAGATATTTTTCAAGGCATGCCTGGCAACCACTCAAGGTTTGGTCCTGGTTTGAGCCCATTTTAGTCCTATTATAGACTTAATGTGGCCCTGGTTTAGTCCTGTTCTAGTCCTGGTTAAGTTCCAAGTTTAGTCACAGTTTAGTTAAAATTTTAATGTGAATTGTGTGTATGTGTGAACAGTCTTAGTAAAGCACCGAACTACAGACCAATGCCTTCAGTGAACAGAGCGAGAAGAAAGGTGTATTCGTGGCTAAATGGTGCCACCTACTGGTTACCCTTTACATTACACATTCAAAAATAGATACTGGGCAGTGTAATGTAATGGCGCTTAAAGCTTTAACATGCAGATAAGATTGTGAAATATAAAATAAATAAAACACAGAAGTAAATTAATAATGTATACCTTGGTCAGCTCTTGATTGATTCTCTCAAAGTCTTTCAGGCTTCTGGAGTAAAATCCAATGGTACAGCTTGGGTCCATTTTATTGAATGGCATCTTCTTTGGTGATGGACAATGAAAGGACTACAAAAAAGGCACAAATGTAATCATGTAAATTTATCAAGATGAATTAAATATATGTCAGGCAATTAAGTTAGGTTAATCAACATGTTTGCTTCTCCTTTTACATTTATAACAGTTTACAATGTGAGCAGTGGGATTTTATTATTTTTTCTTATTAAAAACTATATTTAAAAAAAATGTCCCTGATTGTATGACTATAACTGGATTTTAATCTGTGAAATTTACCTAAAAGAAAAAATTTAATTATTAATTATTATATATACCTACCCTTTTCACAGCCTCACATCTGCATGCTAATGCTATTGCTATTACATTTACATTTATACAGGTGATTTCTCAGATACAAAATGTAAACTTAATTTTTATATTTGTTAAATATATATATATTTTTTTACAGTTTTTAGAAGTTCATCTATCCATTTTCTTCCACTTTATCCTGGGCTGGTTTATTTGAAGTGAAAAAAATCTAATTACTCCTCTTAAAAGGTGCACTACTACTTTTCTAGTGGAGGGTCCACTACCTTCTTGTCTCCATGAAAATGTTATTGCTTTGCCTAGAATATTCCACGACATGACTTTAAACATATACATCTAGCATTTATTCTCCATCTGTCATTTATTCTTGCTCAAAAATACAATAATTCCTTCCTTCTGACTTGTAATGTAGCATAGTGCTATAGCCTATTTGTCTCCCTCGTGATAGAAACTGTAGGTTTAATCTAAACTGGAATATTCTAGACAAAGCAATAACATTTCCATGGAGATAAGCAGGTGGTGAACCCTCCACTAGAAATGTTACACAGTGCACCTATTTGTCTATGTAGCTTGTGGTATATATACTATATCGACGTATCTTTCCATATATGAAAGCTGGTACAATGTCTTTTTGGGGTCAATATTCATTTTGTGTACATTTTCATTGCGCTACTGGGACATTCTTGGTTATTTTTTGGCTTTTTAATAAGATTTAAAATGTAAAAGGCTGAATTAATATCTTCTATGACTTAATACAGATGCAAACTTAAGTACTAAATTGTTTCATCCTGCTGCTTATTTATTGCAGCTCATGATTTTGTTAACAATAATATATATTTAGAATAGTTTTTGTGGTTTAAATCTGCCTTTGGGTTATCGTGTCAGTGCCATAATTTAGTGGCAATATTCTTACTTATCTTCTATATTTTCTTCAGCAATATAACTTGAACTTGAAAATGTGTTATTGTGACAAGCCTACTGAAAAACTAATACAAGAGTCACATTTAATTTAACTTTTTTACAGCTCTAAACTACACTGTTTTTATGCAGAAGAAGACAGGATATTTTGTTTGTGGAAACATGATACATCTATGGTACATAAAGGCAGATTTGTTAATTAAGTCAATTTAATTAGCGATTCAATTGCAAGTAATCTTGTAGCCAAACAAAATGGCTATAGCTAATTTCTATTCATTGCAATAACTCATCTCAGTTTATGCAGATATAATACACAAACTACCAGTTCAGCTCACTTAAAGGTGCACTGTGTAACTTTTGTGGTGGTCACCTGCTTGTTTCTATATGTCACTGCTCTGCCTTGAATGTTCCACAGACATTAAACCGCTTTACCTTACATTTATGAAATTACAGGTGGTTTTACAGCTCAAAAATACCTAGAAAAACAGGCATTTATTCTGACTGTGAGTGGGATTGTCTCTCCACAGATCTGACCTGTAACTTGGTCTGGTTTGGTCTCCATGATGATAGAAAGACTTAATACAATACTGTGAAACATTTCAGAAAAAACAATCACATCTTCACAGAGACAAGCATTTGATGATACCCTCCACTAGAAAAGTTACACAATGCATCTTTAAAGATGCAGTCCTTAAGTGTTACAGAAGTGATTACATTCACACAACAGTGGCCTTAGGCAGCTTGTGTGTGTACCTCCCCATTACCTGCAGAGGGAACTCGCCAGTGCTGACATCCACAAAAGACTGACAGTAATGAGGATCCATGTAAATCAAGCTGTCGTCTACAAGGACAAAACAAAAGACAAGTTATTCAAAAACATCACATTATTACCAAAACGCGCTCGCTCCAATTTCTATGCAGAGTAGCTCAAAGTCACCTGCTCAGCTTAATGTTAGGCTAGTGTGCGTCAAATATGCCTCCCAGAAGGTTGCTGCTTTTTAATATCCAGCAGGGCGCATTAGAATCTGCATAATCAGATCTACGTGCACATTCTTTACAGTCAAAAGAAAGAGGTTGTCATTTAATTTTTGTGTGGGAGAATTACTTTTACAAACACGCAATTATGAGACAGCATTTGCATATGATAAATGCTTTGCCGAGCAGTCCCTTGGCAGCCAGAATGTATTGCTTGTCATTTAGACATCATCCACCACTGTATTTCAAATTGGTAAAATGTAAATGCGTAAATATTGACTGCCAAGATGTACAACTGAAGGTTCCTCCTGGCCTCTGAAGGTGATAGAGAGTGGCTCACTTTGGAGACTGGATTAAATTTAATGCATGCTTCCTATGGAAATCAATTACGCCTCACAACTTGGGGAGGTTTACTTGTGATGAATGGGCGAAGCTTTGATGGGTCAGGAAGAATAAAGTAGAGCCTGCTTCACTTGGCTCCACTCCTCTCCGTTTTTCCACACACAAACATGAATACATTAACTTACTTTGTCTTCTCTGGATAAAAAAGGGTATATTATGCAAAATCATCTGTTATTCATACCAACTCTCTCTTTGTCTTTCTCTGGTTCCATTATAGCAACGCTAACCTTGAAATCCGACAATGTAGCAGGCCTGTTTGGGCTTTCCACCAATGATGCCAAGGCAGTAATCCAGGCTTAAAAGGTTCTAAATAAAACAGAAAAGACACAGTGTGATTTAAATGTATTCTTTTATATGCTGGTTAGGGCTGCAACAAGATTAATCATAACTGAAATCGCAATCTGAATGGATGCAATTATCAAATCACAAAGGATGCATTTTTGTAGTACCATAATTTCCTTCACGAACAATAAAATGTCCTGTCTTATTCTGCAATAAGTAAGAAAGTTTTATGCTGTGATTCTTGTATTAGTTTGTTAATTTTTTTTGTTTTTTGTCCATTCTCTTAGATGCATTTAAATATTTGAAAAGAAGCCTATTATTAAAACATAAATGGAAAATCTAATCACTACTTAACTAGAAAAATTGTAATTAGATATTTTTCCCAAATCATTCAGCTTTTTTGCTGATAAAAAAGAAAATATAACACTCAGTGAATATTAACTTACGGGACCAATACAGGCTCTCTTGTCTCTTTCTATAGTAATGTTTTATTATTAATATGCAACTAATACACAAATTTTATGTACCTATTACATAAGTATAGTATCTATTACAAGTCAACCATAGCTATTGGTTTAGTGGCTTACATGTGTAATTATTGTGAATTTTATGCATTTTACTGGATTTGTTTTACTGACTGCAAAATGAGTAATTTGTGGACATACTCATCCCATACTATCAATTACAGAAGAATTTGTTGTAATTACTATTAAATTTATGTTTTCATTAAATGTAATTTAGAGACATTGATGTCAGTATTATCAGCAGTTAAATATTTGAATTCTATACAAATAGATAGGAATTATTCCATTGTAGCATTGTTATTCTTATCTAGTGCTGTTTTGTAATTCAAGTTTTAAAAGCCACAGAAGATTAGACAAGGGCAAACACTCCTCTCACTCAAAACAAATTTAATGAAGTGATTTTATTATTGCACCATTTGGCTGAAGCAATAATTTGGTAAATTGCACAGCTCTGTTCCATACCTTGACAAAGTTGATGTGGTCAGGGTTGGTTTTCTCTCCTCCCAGCCGCACAGGTATTAGAATAATGACTGCTCGACTTTCTAACTGGTCAGTACAGGATGGTTCATCGTGAGGGGGAGGAGGGGCCCTAGAGTCCCTCTCTGCTCCTGATGCCCTGTGGCTGTCCATGACATCTGCACTGTACACTACAGAGGATCAATAATACAAGAGGTCAGACTGGGGCCATTTGTCTGTACATATGTCAGTCTAAAAATAGGACATGCAACCTTCAGGCCATATTAGCTTTTTTTCATGTAATCGCTATTAGATTATTACACATTATACCAATGTCAAGAGTTATGTGAAGAGCTATTTAATGCCTTTTTGCTGGAAATATGCTTAATATAATTTTGTCAATTTTACTGTATAATTTTACTTTGACAACTTATGTATGCGTGAAATCGAGGCTTTCATGACTTTTGAACTTCATAAACATGGTTATCAAAAGATAATAATCAATACTGAAGAAATAGACGAGTTTTCAATATTGAATTAAACTTGCACATTTCCAAAAAACTTCCAGAATAGTCTTGATCTGCTGTATCATAACTAGTGATAGCACATTGTATTAATAAAAACTACACCTATTTGTGTAGAAAATAGCATAATATAGTTTAACCAAACCTTTTCCTGAGCTGATCTCAATTTTAGTATTATAATAACACTATTCATAAATAACCAAAAGGAAAAAGGACTGAAGAACAGTGGTCAGTTTGGAAAGTGTCCCATGTATACTGCTTTATCAACAGCAGTGGGCTCGTATTTCGCACCTGTGCAGTCCTGGGACACATAGGCTGTTATCCCTGCCAAGATGGGGTCTATTGCTTCTTCAACAGCTTTCCTATGAGATACAAGTGAGCAATAAAGGTGAGAGAAAGTCAACACAAACCACAAAATTGAATTAAAAGTATGCTACAGACTAAAATACACAATTACTTTAAGCTGTATCAGATTTTAATAGTGCTACTTACTTGAGGATGTGTGCTACCACTGCAGGGCCATACCAGTCTCCGGCCTGTTTCCCCATCACTAAACCCAATTGGACGAGTCTGTGAATACTGAGTTGAGAGGAAGGGCTGTCTCCAAACAAGGACACCAGAGTTCTGTGGTACATGTCTTTTATGTGTGCGTCAGCCTCTTCAGCTGAGCCAAATGCTTGGACTGGGGGGGGTTCTGGGGGTTTAAGCTGAGAAGATCCAGGAGAGCCCTGCAGAGAAGCCTCCAGAGAAGCTACAAAACGTTTGGCTGCAGATGTGGTCCATGTCTCTGTGTCTAAGGGCTGGAGAGTGAGTGCCTCTGACCATGTCCAGTCTGTGAAAATATGATACATCAACTTACTTACATTTAATTAATATATTTTGTTGGTTTCAAATGAACAGAGGATACTAATGTCCCTATGTTTTTTTTTTTTTTTACATAGGATCCATATAAGACTTAAGAAATAATACATTATTATGCAATAAATTATACTTTTTACTTTTCTTTCCTATGTATTTTCATGAATAAACATATCTACACTACCAGGCAAAGGTTTAGACACACCTTCTCAATGATCTTCACAATAATGTCTCCTGAAATGGTTTTCAGATCAAGGTGTGCCATGTCAGGGTAAATAAATGACAATTCTCAAAAGTAGTGATCAAAGCAAAGGGTAGTTCTTTTTAAAAACCTAAAATCTGAAACAGGTTTGGAGTTATTTTGATGCTTTGATGCTTAATAATCACGAAAATAAAGAAGAAACATAAAATAAAAAGTGGGTCCAAACTTTTGACTTGTAGTACACAATGTTCAATATATTACTAGTTTAAAAGATAACTAGAGACATTAAGTGACAATTTGACCATAAAAGTAGTATAAAATAAAACTATTCACTGAAATAATAAAATACTATATGGGAAAAACACTGTCTTATGTAATCTGTCACCGATTTCACAAGTTGTATGCTGAATGCTCTTGACCAAGACATGACCGGGATTCAGGCTTAAAAAAGAAACTAAAACTAACATCACCTATTCTGTGTGGTTTGAATAACACATTTCTACCTTTTAAGTTTTAACAAAGTTAAACAAGTTAATTACATCTTTTTAACATCTTGTTTTTAATAGTGAAAACCTGTGTATGCTGTAGTGATAGGGTGGGTGTCACTCTGTTCAGGTCTATCTTTGGGTATCCCAGTGTTTCACTCTGCAAGAAATTATACCTTTTGCTTCTTGGATTCTCCTAAATAATATTACCTCTAATGTTCAAAATATTACTGGTTTAAAGATCACCATAAACATTAAGTGACAGTTTATAAAAGTAGTATAAAATAAAATTATTAATTGAAGTAATTAAATATAGGTTGACAAAAACACTGTTTTATGTAATCTGTCACCGATTTGTTCTGTGCTGAATGTCCTTCACCATGACATGACCATGATTCAGGCTTGAAAAAGAAACTAAAACTAAAATCACTTATACTTTGTGGTTTGATTAATAAATTCCTACCTTCCTAAGTAACATTTTAAAACAAGTTAATTACATCTTACTAACTTCTTGGCTTTAATAGGGAAAAGCTGTGTATGCTATAGTGACAGATTGGGTGTCTTCTGTTCAGTTCTAACTTTGGGTGTCCCATTATTTCACTTTAACAGTTCTGCTCACAAACTGGGAGGGAGCTTCAGGCAGAGAAAAGGGGAGTGGCTGTGATCATAAAATTGTCCAGAGTCAAGTCGAAAGCATTATCAAAGTGACCTTCAATGACCAAGTGTGAAATGGATCAATAAATGTGCTTAAGTGCTCATCAGATATTTTATAGAGAAATATTTCATTTGTGACATATTTTAAATTAGAGAAAAGTACAAGTTTAAATATTGTTTTTAAATGGCTACATTAAACTGGGAGTCTTGAAACCATGTCGACCCATAATGAAAAGAGAATATAAAGTGTACGGCACTTTAGAGTCAAAGTAAGTGGATTTTAACAAGCTTTAAGCCCAATCAATTCAAGTTTAGCATCTCCAAATTCCTATGATAAAAGGTCAAATATAAAAAATATCCAATAGACCAATTTTACACAACAGAGTTAACTTTAGAATTTTAGGCTGCGTTAACATCTCGTTAAAATTTTGACCAAAACTGGACTGAACTAAACTGGGACTAGAACAGGCCCGAAATATACTGCATACGACCATTGTGACCTTAGGCAAGCCATTTCCTCCTCACTTTCCACAGAATGATGGTCAGGAATTGGAGGTATTTGGACAGGCCAAAGGCACAGACTGGCAGCCTTGCTTCTGTTAGTCTACCCCAGGGCAGCTGTTGCTACAGTTCTGTCTTACCACCACTAAGAGAACTCCACAACAGTAAATGAATACTGCAATAATGCAATGCAAATAGAATCTTTACATATATTTTAGGGCTGTAACTATATCCAAATTTCTCTGTAAGATATTTTCACGATATGCATCTTTCAGTTCGATATTTATTATAATATTTTGTAGAGGCTAACAACATTATGAATATACTACTTTTTCCTTTAAAAATGCCCTGACAAGCCTTTGTTCCATCGTAAACCAAAGACTTAAAATTTAAAAGTGCTTAACAGTTATTTCATTGTGTAAATTGGACTGAAACACAGCAAAGGATTATGGTCTATGTAGTTCCCTCTGTTTCTTTTAGCTATTGTTGCACCATAACAATGAATACAAGCAAAGACACTTGAGATTCAATACATTGTGATGGCCCATGATATTACTGAGAGATGATACAATATCACAATAATTTGGGTATTGTTATATCTCTAATAAAGAGTAAAGAGTGTCTATAGAACTGCTTAACATATTGAATGCATTGATAGAATAAATATTTCATGGCAATCATAATGGCACCCACCTCGACCAAGCAAGTGAAGAACCAGGGCTTGAGCCAACATCATCTGACCCGCCCTGAGCATGCAGCCCCAGCCACAGTCAGAGGTCAGGGAGGAGCCGGGCAGCGCTGGAAACTCCTCTCTGTACGTGAGCCACACTCTAGAGGCAAAGTCCCTCCGGAAAGACTCAACGTTTCCCATGGCTAAGTCATCATCTGTGGTCTCAACACAGGCTTCCTCTGTAGGGCTGCTGTCATCATCTGAATAACACAGGTTTAAAATTATTACATTATATGCTTTAAGGTCCTATATCACACAGAATTAACTCTTGTGACCTTTTAGCCATGTTATAATGTCATTACCTCCTCAAAAATATACACAGAGTTGTGTTTTGTTTCACTCACACACTCAGTTTCACCTTGTCATGTCATGTCGTTGTAGTTTTCAATTTAATAACTAACTTTTACCTTTTGTTCAGTAGAGACTGGCAATTCCAAGACTGAATTCAAACGATTCTAATTTATGACATCACAAGGTGGAACAGAGTGTTTTCTGTTTGACAGAAGAACTCAGCCTAAATATGCAGGGTTTGTGTGTTAAACATTTACAAATGAACCAAAACACAACTCCAGGTGTGTTTTTTTGGGAGAAAACAACATTACAACGTAGATCAGAAAATAGCCTAATATGGGACCGTTAAAGAGGAACTAAACACCAAATGAATCTCTTTGTGTACAGAGTGTTGTATTGGCATTGTCTACTGTTACTAGACAATTTTGCAAACTAGGCACATTTGCAGTTTGCGGTCTAAAACTATCTAGTGTGTGCTGCCTCCAGTGGCCAATGAAATTAAAAATTAATAAATTAATGAATCATAATGCTCGTAATAAATTAATGAATCATGCTGCTACGTCATACCGTACCATTGTATAGACACCGCCCCTCCTCCCCCCTTTGTCCAGTCCACCAGGCACTGCCCAGTTTATAAGCTCAATTTGTTTAGTTGCAAATTAATGTAGATTTGGTTTGGTGGTGCTTCTAGTCCTAGTTCTTGTCTAGTCCAGGTTTAGCTGCAGTGTTGATTTGGTGTGTGTGCAAGTGTGAATGTAAATTGACTCTTAGTTAATGCATGCAACAATAATTCCCTAACAGAAAACACATAACAAAACAAACCTTCAGCCTTGAAATGGTAGCATTTACCCAGCAAAAGTACTGGAGAGTTTCTGCTAAATGAGGTCTTGGACTTGAGAGCCCAACCTAAAAATAGAACAAAACACTCTTATGAAAACTTAGCCAGCAATTACAATGTTTGGAATGTTTTTGCTTCACCCAAAACCACATTGTAGAACTAAAGACAAAAATACAGACCATATATGACTATTTAAAGAAATGACTCACTAAGATGTGATTCTACCCTGTTTTGGGACAGACTATGTGTTAAGTATAATAACTTCCCTTGGTCTTTGGGTCAGGGTAGCACTTAAAAATGTTAAAATTGTGTGCAGTTTAATGGATGTCTATGCATGATCAGCCCCGAGCTAAATACTGTACTTCACATTGTGCCACACTGACAAGAACTTTGTCTTCAATTTTTCCACCTCGTCGCTCCCTTTATTCTCCATTTAAGCCAGCGAAGGATGAGACCCATTCCCACCCGCTTGCAAAGTCTAGAAACACACACACAGCTGAATGTTACAGTTCAGCTGCAGTAATAGTAGAGAAGGAAATATACACCCCTACAACAAAGTCTTACCTTATTTTGTTGTAGCTGCCATTATTCCTACTTGTATCTATTTCATATCGCTCTTACAAAACTAGTTTCTTGTGTGCATAGTTAAAGAAGTGTATCTATTTGCATGGCTTGCTGTTTAACTTCACACTACCCTGCGATGGCCAATGTTTACACTTGGAGGAAGTGAAAGAGTTGTTCTCGCGAGATTTCTCTAAAAACGAGCGTTGGGTCGAGGTGTGTTTTATTATAATACTATAACGGTCCGAGCGGGCGGGGATGGCTTCATAGATGTGTCTTTCTTTTACTCTGTGTATTACATATGATATAAAATTTATTGTTAACATTCTTCACTAACAGCAATGACGACCATGTGAATAGCATGCTTCGGTTTTTCTAACTTACAAATCTGTTTTTGTCTGCTTATGGACTTACCGTAAGTTACAGTGTAATGCGCATAGAGGTGGGTGTGTTCCTTTCCCATTCATAGTTGCTAATTTCGCATGTGCACTTTTTCTGTGTTTACGGTAGTCAACCCATTCTCCCGTTTTCCCGTGGTTTTCCCATAGTGAGTGTGTGGAAAGCCGAGCCTGCCTACTGCCTGCTTGGGAAATCTAAAGCACATCTGCGGCCACTGCCATGGCTGAACGCCGCGCCTTCGCACAGAAAATAAACAGGTAAATACGAGACAAAAACATAACAGGCGCATGCATGGCCTTGCCGTGTTATATAGGTCGCTCGTTGACCACCGCGGAGACAGCCCAATGGAGGAGGCCCGGGGTAGGGCAGAGCCTGTGCTAGCGTTAGCTGCGGCGGCAGTGATGCTCAGACCCACCCAGACAGACACGACTAGCTGCGACTGTTTTCAAAGCAAACAAAGAGGCGACGTGTAATAACACAGTAACAAATGCGCCTTGGTCGCGAGTCTTTTTCACCATCTCCCGCATGCTCGCGCTCTATCTGTTATCTCCAACATTATGTCCCGATCAGCTGGGCTGTCGAGACAGTGATGGACAGCCCCGTACTGTGATGTGTGATGGACAGTCCTTAACTTATGTTTACAGTCAGGCCTCTGCTGGAAGGGCATTTCATTAAAGCCTGTCTGTGTCTAAGAAGATAACAGTCCCCCCACTACAATTAAACAGCGACTATTTAATCTCCTCTCCGCCTCTCAGACAGATCAAAGTAATGCCCTTAACAAAGGGCTTTGTGCTACCTGTCAAAGACTATCATCCCACATGATGTCTCAATATAAACACAGACACACGGGACACAAGAGCTTATCCGTCACACAGTCTATTTGTTTACTACACTGTTATATACTGCCATTAATATTTTATGATACCCGATGCAACCGTTAAATAACAGTGGCCACAATTACACTGCAGTGCTTTTTGTTTTGCATACATTTGTACAGTTGAATTTATAAAAATCAATCCCCATTATTTAACACTGAATTTAACATTGATTTTGTGATTATTACAGGAACGCACTATTAAAATAATCATGTCATTGCTCTGCTCATTTCAGTTGTGTCAGGCATGTAAATATACAATACTAATCATTTTGGTTGGTTTCAAGCTTGTCTCTTGTCTCTCTGTTTTAGGACTGTGGCAGCAGAGGTCAGGAAGCAGATATCTGGACAGTATGGAGGTTCCCCACAGCTCTTCAAACACCCAAATGCAGGGACAGCGGCAAGTAACACGGTGAGTTCATACTAAATAAATAAACTCACTATGTGGCCCATGTTTCATTTTGTGTTTATTTGGAAATAGAGGAAGTCAGTGACACTTATGTTTATGAAGAAGCTACAAATCTTTCAGAATAATGTAAGGTTAGCACTGTTATAGCAATTAACAGTTCAAAACAAAATGTTATATTTTTAATGGTCACCGGTCCTCAAAATGGCACCATCTAACTTATAAACAGATAGAGAGATAAATAAATACTTTATTAATCCCAAGGGAAATTGCAGTGCAGTCTTTTGTTTACATTCACACAACACATACATGAAAAAAAGAAGAAGAAGAGTTAAGAGGTAGACAGAGATAGATTAAACTAGTAAAGAGAGCTAGATTAAACTAGTAAAAATAGCTGTCAATGCATATTTAATAAATAAATTGATAAAGTGCTGAGAAGCACTAAGGAGTTAGAGGCATTGACCAAACCATGCCTTGTCATTACAATACATCACTCCTGCACTTGTCAATGCTTAGCGTGGAGATGCTGTATTGGTTAAAAGGACAGTGCCAATTTACACTGTGTAGTTTTAGCAGCTGCTTTGTCCTTGTTTAATTAAATCGTCCACAGTTAGATTTTGTTTAATTGCATTCACTATACTAGTGTTGTTTATTTTTAATTTTCTCTTTGACAAACCACCAGGTGCCCCTCACGGAAGCGGTGGACCCAGTGGATTTTGAGGAGTACCTGATCACACACCCTCCCATCGTGGAGTCGGGACCTCTCAGAGATCTAATAGAGTTTCCTCCTGATGATATCGAAGTCATCTACACACCGAGGGAATGTCGCACAGTAGTACAGGCTGTCCCAGAAGAAGGGTAAGGCTGCATTTCAGAGCCTTTAGTAAGATTATAATTGACACTTTGCTGTGACATCATGCTGGGGTGCTCTAAACATTCCACCATTAGAGATACATGTAGCAGTTACCATGGTGACACATTAGCAAACACAGATAAAAAAGATTTAAAAGTCTGAAAACTAAACACAAAATGGATATGAGCAACAGATTTTCAGGAGACTGTGATTAATATGAGCGTTTAGGTGTTTGATTTTCAATAGAAAGGACTAACTGAAAAACTGCTGGCTAATACTAGGTAGATTGTCAGTGTAATTTTATGTGTGTGAGACTTGTTTAACAGCACAAATCATTTCACTTGTTGTAGTTCCAGCTAAGTCCGTTCTTTCTGTTCAGATTGTGTTAAAATAAAGCTCAGATTAAAGTCTGATTTGAGCAACAGAGATACAGACAGAGTAGTGTACACAATCAGCTTCATGTCCCCAGGGAATGTTGATGTCATCAGCTGCAAAGTATCAGTCTATCTTAAATATCAAATATGTCAAATAACTTGAGTAACAGAGCTTTTATCAGCTAGCTTCACAGCCCAGGGAATGTTAATGACATCAGTTCCAAAGTATCAATACTGTGCAATAGTGATGGGAAACACAAATGTATAGTATTGTGATTGTTGTTTTGGTGATAGGAAATGTAGAACCTCAAGTATTGTATGTAAGTAAATTAATAAAAAGGTTACATAAAGAGTGGATTAAAAATTGAAACTAACATATTTCTGCTGTGTAATCCAACCCTAACCTAAGGCATTAAGTGGCATTTCTGCATATCTGTGGTTCATTTTACAGTCCTTTCACTTTTTGTGCGATTCTTGAATTTCCCCCAAGACAATTATCAGGTACAGGCAAGCACATGTCAGAGAGATTTCCTTTAAAATATAGGCCTTGGGATCACAGATCTAACACAGAGATAACACAGAGCATTTTTCACATAATATGGCATATTAACTCTGTAATTGCAGAGGTCCATTAAAGGTGCATTGTGTAGCTTTTCTGGTGGAGTCATGTGCTTATTTCTATGGATATGTCTTTGTTCTGCCTGGAATGTTCCGTGGTATGACATTAAACAGCTCTACCTTACTTTTATTCCATTACAGGTGATTTTATAGCTCAAAATACCTAGAAAAACAGCCATTCCGACTGTGAGCAGGGCTGCATCTCCACAGATCTGACCTGTAAAATGGTCTGATTTGGTCTCCATGAAGATAGAAAGGTTTAATGCCATACTGTGAAACATCCCAGAGCAAGCAAGAACATTTCTATGGAGAAAAGCATTTGACAGAACCTCCACCAGAAAAGTTACACAGTGCACCTTTATTATGTGTTTTTCCCATGAAATAAATCATTAAATGAAAATTAAATAAATACATGAATAATGCAAAGAAGTTATTTTGTTTGTTTATTTTGAAGATTATTTAGTCAGTCTGCTATTTTGTCTGCTACAATTTAAATTTTAGTGTACCATAGGGATTCAGTGAAATACATGATTAATACTTTACTACATTGTTGTTCAGTATCATTATAAGTGCTTTTATAATGTAGTGTGTTTGAAAATGAAACTTAAAGGGACATTGCGTAATTTTTCTGATGAGTCTGTCCAGAAAAGTTGTTGCTTGTCTCGATGGAGATTTTATTGCTTTGTTTAGAATGTTCCACGGTAGAGATTCATCTTAATATATCTCAGTGGAGACAACTATAGGCTAAATTACAGGTCAGATCTGTGAAATGACAACCCTAATCACAGAGAGAATTGTATTTGTATTTTTAAGCAATAGAAACACCCATAATGAATAGAAGCTAGATAGATGTGTTTAATTCCAGGGAAAGTAATAACATCTCCATCGAGATAAGCAGGTGACCCTCCATCAGAAAAGTTACGCAATGCACCTTTAACTCAACCCTTTTTTTTTTTTTAAGTTCAGGCAAAAACAAGTATTTATACAGAAGTATCAATAGTACAGATACAGATAGTATAGATACAACTCGTGAACCAGGGGTTCAGTCTGCCTTTTTAGTTTTTACATACAAATACCCCAAAGACTTTAACTCAACACTAAATATATCTGCTTTATATTTGCTTCCAGAGACACAGATGCTCATGTCAGAGACTGTGTTCGATCATACACAGAAGACTGGGCGATTGTTAACAGGAAGTGAGTAATTTGTTAATGCGCCGTAATGTGTGTCTAAAGATAGTTATCAGCTGTTTTTAAATGATTGTGCTGTTGTTGTAAATTGCCCTCTAGATATCACAAGCTCGGTACGGGTTTCAATCCTAACGCACTTGACAAACAAAAGGAGCGTCAAAAAGGCCTCCCCAAGCAAATCTTTGAAGCGGATGAAATGCCAGAGACCAGCAGTTACCAAGACGATCAGGTATGCTTCTGTATTGCTGTGTTTCCGATGATATCACTGTTCCATTGGCTAATGACATTTAAAGATGCACCATGTATTTTTTCACCTTGTGCCTTGTGTGTAACGTTATTACTTTACCTGGAATCTTCCAAAATATGGGATTGAATTTACATTTATTTAATTTGGAGTGTTTTTATTGATCCAAAAATGCATTGAAAAATATTGTTACTTTGAGCAATGTCATCTCTACATACTATTTTACCTGGAACTTGACCTGTTGGCTCCACCTGCTTGTCTTGATGAAGATACATAAGTTTAATGTTATACTGTGGAACATTCTTGGCAAAGCAATAATATCTCCATGGAGACACAACAAAATAACGAGCCCTTCACCAGAAAAATTATTTACATTTGCACGATTTCTATTTCAATCTTCCCAATTTCCCTAGGCTTTCATGAGTATTAAAGGCGGCATCTGGAAAACATTAAATATACTGCATTTTTTTATTCCTCCATTTTCTTTTTTTTTGGTTTCTCTTCAGGATGATTTGAAGCGGCGTTCCATGTCTATAGATGACACCCCCAGGGGCAGTTGGGCATGCAGCATCTTTGACTTAAAAAATTCACTTCCGGACCCTCTCCTCCCTCATCTCCTGGACCGCGCACCCAATGAGGAAATCGACCGCCACAACGAAGACCAACGCAAAACCAGCCGCCATCGCGAGTTGTTTGCTCTACATCCTGCTCTGGATGAGGTACAGTTGTTCTTGTGGTAGCACATATTTTCTTTCTTTGCGCAGCTCCCATACAATTCAGAAAAGTTTGGACTGTTAGGCTGTTTGTGCCACTTATACTTTACTAATTAATACTATGAATGAATACTATGTGTGAAGTATGAACATTAATTAAGTAGTAAATAAAAATTGAACAATAGTGTAAAAAAATTATCAACATTTAGATTGAAATTTTCATATTATTTCAACACTTGCTATGATATGGTGGTGTATTTTTCTTCAGGAAGAGCCCATTGAGCGCCATTGTGTTCCTGAAGTACCTAAAGAGCACTTCGGACAGAGGCTACTCGTCAAGTGCTTGTCCTTGAAGTAAGTAGCGGACGGACAAAAGCCCCTTAGCTGTTTTATTTAACTGCTGCTTTCTGCTGACCCTTTGTTTTTCATTTCCTGTTGAAGGTTTGAAATCGAAATTGAGCCGATATTTGCTAGTTTGGCCTTATACGATGTCAAGGAAAAGAAAAAGGTAAGCTGTTATGCTTTGCTCAGTGCCTCCTCAGCTATGAGTTGTTGGGTCACTTTTCCAAACCACTAAAACTGTTCAGAAGCCAAAGCGAATCTTCTGAACGCACCATCAAATTTCACATTGTCACTTAGAAACTTTAACCTTAAAACTGCTTGGGTACCCTGTATACACAGAGAACACTAGAGGGTAGTAACTGTCTTGAAAAAATACATGCATTTCTTATTTGTTACTTTTTTTTTTCACAGATATCAGAGAACTTTTTCTTTGACTTAAACTCTGAGCAAACAAAAGCCATGCTGCGTCCCCATATTCAAACTGCAGCCATCTCAACACTGGCCCGATCTGCTGTATTTTCAATTACCTACCCTTCTCAAGATGTCTTCCTAGTCATCAAGGTATGTCTCTCTTTTAAAACCATGTACTTTATTTGTAATTAATATTTTTTTAAAGTTGAATTATTTGATAAATATATACTTTAAACAGCTGGAGAAAGTTCTGCAACAAGGTGATATTGGAGAATGTGCTGAACCCTACATGGTTTTCAAAGAGTCAGATGCTGCCAAGGTACACTACAATACATCTAGTTTACATTTACATTTATGTTTTGCAGTTTGAGATATTATTGATATTTTTGGTGCAGAATAAAGAAAAATTGGAGAAGCTTCGCAGCCAGTCAGAGCAGTTCTGCCAACGCCTGGGCCGCTACCGGATGCCATTTGCTTGGACTGCAATCCACCTGATGAACATCGTCAACAGTGCAGGCAGCTTGGAGAGAGACACAGAAATGGAGATGAGTCTGTCAGGTGTGATAAATCTTTTATTTATTCATTTTTTATTTATTTATTTTTTATTACACAGTTTAAAGGTGCACTTTCTAGTGGAGTCTGTCAGCTTCTTGTCTCCATGGTGATGTTATTACATTGCTTCAAATGTTCAAAAGTAGTGCACTGAACTCTTCATACCTGGTTTTGTAATTGATAAAAAATCACTTAAAAACATACATTCTTACTGTGAGTGGGGTCACCTCACCACAAATCTAACCTGTAACTTGGCCTGCCACCTTCTTGCCTCCACATAGATAGATATGTTTAATATCATACAGTGGAACCTTCAAATCAAGACAATAGCATCTCCACACAGACAAGCAAATGGTGTCCCTCCACTGGAAAATGTATATATTGCACCTTTAACTATATGTAGCACAGGCCTTGTTGTCGTGCATGAAACTCATGGGTATGCCAATGTATTGCCACACTGAAAAAACAACTTTCCATCAACAAATAGTACAACATATTTAAACAAATGCAAACTAATATTGATCCTCAGAATGTTATTTTGAGTTTGACCTTTCTGTGTACCTAAACTTTGACCTCAGGTGTAACTATAGATAAAAAATATTTTGACTTTATCAATGAGGTTTTGATTTTATTGGAATCCATTATCTCTTTACAGAGCGAAAAGGCTCTTGGTCTGAGCGGAGGAACTCAAGCATCATGGGAAGGCGTTCACTGGAGAGGACCACAAGTGGAGATGAGGCTTGTAGCCTCACAGGGTTCAGACCGGCCACTCTCACCATCACCAATTTTTTCAAACAGGTCTCACTTCTATATAAGCATTCCCTCTTGCAGTGTTTCCAACAGATTTTACTGATACTGTGGTGGCAGTCCATAAGTAATCATTTTATTTTATTTATTACAACCTGAGTTTAAATGTACAATTATAAATTAAATATAGTTACTTCTGTATGTTTATGAAAAAACTAGAAGCATAAAATATCTGGTGAATCTATTTTTTTGTCCCACCTGTTTTTACACATTTTCTTTAACTATCATGAATAGTCCACTTGTTTTTATATTTGCACAGTCCATTGTTGATTTTACTCGAAGCATTGCTTCTAAGGGTTCATTCGCCTGTTTGTCCATGTATTGTAGGAAGGAGACAGACTTAGTGATGAGGATCTGTATAAGTTCCTTGCTGATATGAGGAGGCCTTCTTCAGTGCTGAGGAGGCTTCGACCCATCACAGGTAAACTTGTAATGTTAATTTATTCTTGCTATCTTTCATGTAATTTTGGCCTTATACTCACCATCTGTCATATACTGTCATGGCTCCCTTCAGCCCAGTTGAAGTTGGACATTTCTCCAGCACCAGAGAACCCCCACTATTGCTTGACCCCTGACCTCCTGCAGGTCAAGCCTTACCCCGACAGCAGAGTCCGGCCCACACGCGAAATCCTTGAGTTTCCTGCGAGGGATGTCTACGTGCCAAATACCACATACAGGTACTACAAACTCAAGCTGCCTGTAGTTTTAAAGTAGGCTGTGCAATTAATAAAATCTAAACTGTGATTACAACTATTGCTCTCAAAAGTTTATGGTGTAATTTAAAAATACAATGTATTTATCATAATTTAATCATTTAATGTTATGTAGTTATATAAATACAAAAACATGCACTAACCTGGTTTTGTCTTCATGGAGATGTATAAGTTTAATGCTGTACTGTGGAACATTCCAGGCAAAGCAGTAACATCTTCATGGAGACAAACAGGTAACAGAACCTCCATCCGAAAAGTTATACAGTACACCGTTAAATTACGACCCAAATAGCGGTGATTGCATTTCCATAATCATCAACTATATAAATTAGTACCTTTTGATTTCTCTTGATAAAATTAATTTTTTGAGGATTTTGTTTTGAAATGGAACGCTGTACAAAGATGACCTATATTCAAGGTTTTAAAGGCACATTGTGTTATCTGAGAGTTTGTACTTTGATGACTTCTCAGTGTGTTAATGATCACCACATGTCCGTTGGTGCACTGGGTGAAAATTACATCTGCCCTACTACTATTTTTGTCAAGGTCACTCTGAGGCATACTCACACCACCAGACACCTCCTCCTTCAACCTCATTTGTCCGCAAATAATCGGTACCTTTCAGCTGGAGATAAGGCCAGATCAATAGATTGCAAAGACCTGCTGCAATGCGAGGTTTCAAAATGTCATTGAACAAAGAAACTCAGTATTTCAGTAGCAAAGTTGTAATGCTGCTCCATGTAACATTTCTGGCTGATGTTTTTATTTATGGAGATGTTATTGCTTTGCCTGGAGTGTTCCGCACTATGGCAATAAACATATATATTTATATGGAGACAGAGGTATGTGACGCCATCAGGTCAAGTACAGGTGAAATCTGTGAAGAGACAACTGCACTCATTGTTAGAATGCATGTTTCTGAAGTGTTTCCTTTTTGCAATTAAAACACTATCTTGAATAAATGCAAGATAAATTAATGCCACACTGTGCAACATTGTTGGCAAAGCAATAACAGACAAATCAGGTGGCAGACATTGTTTTGTAGAAGTTTTCAGCTTGTCCAAGTAAGGGTGGAAGCAAAAGGCTGGAGACCAACTGGATGTCTTAAGCGGGAGAAATGTATTTGTCATCAATAATACGGGCCCAGGGGAAATGAAAAGTCAACATAGTATGATTTCAAACGTGAACGTAGTATGATCTTTGAGTGTTCAAGCCCCTTGACTATGCTTCCAAAAGAGGAGGTTCATAAAGCAAGTGTGGTGAGACTATGAAGGGCAGTAGGCACCGGTTACGCAGCAATGCCACAATTTAGATAATGGCATGCTAATTGTATGGCAATGGTATGCCAAGGCAAGAAGATCGTGTTACTATAGCTCCTGTGAGTCAATGTTAAACTGAGAGATGTACGTTGAGGATAAATTACTTAAATTCTTTTACACTTTGCATCAAAAAAGTTACATAGTTCCCCCTGCACCCTATTAGAAATGCTTAATTAAACACTTAACAAAACACTGGACATCAGAAATCTTTTATTGTTATGTTGACATCATAAATACAACGTGGTTTAGCCCTGGCTAAATGTGTTAGTATGAAACATTTACAGTACAGTAATGAAATAATACTAAAACAAAAGTCAATATGACTCAAAATACACTGTAATGACAGATTTCTAGTAATTCAAGCATCTGGCTTATACTACTGTGAAACATGGTTTAAATAAACAGGTAAATAAAAAATAATAGTGCGCTTGTAAAGGTAGACCGTAAAAAACAGTGTGAGCAATGGCAAATGATGAAAAAGAGACGAATAGGGCCACTTTCCTCTCAACAGAACTACTAAAACAACTACAACTTTTTACTCAAACTAATGAAAAAAATAAAACATTTACAAAACAAGATTAAGGCATAGAAATATTTAAAGTCTAACCTGTGGCTTAGAATACCTCTAGCTCTTAGAAACATGCAAATGCCATTTCATCAGTTCTATTAAATCCCTAATAGCGAAGAAGCTCACAGATGCAATCGTGATACACTATTTTTGTATTTTCTTGAGCATTATACTACAGCAGGTGACCTGGTTGTTAGACATGGTTTGCTGATCTTCATTTTGTGAGTGCCAACATTGCATAAGGACAACTTTACTGTTCCTGCTGGATTGATACCAGTAGGTCACTGACCCTGGTGCCATGGTTACGTTGTTGCTACAGTTAAAGGCACTGTACCTGATTTGCATTCAGAATCTCGTGATTGCTGACTGCAGTGAGTTTACAAGGGCTTTTCACAACTCTCAGAGGCCAGTGCAGAGTAATGACTATGCTAACACGCACTTCCTGATTATCTGGCTATAAAACCGTTTCTAATTAGATGCAAACAGTACACAACTGGCTTATTTTGACCTCAATAGCTCACAATCTGCACTGGGGAAAGAGATGTTTTGCTTAAATACATGGGAAAAACAGGTACAGGGCCTTTAAACTTTTTCATTGGTCAGCACCAGAGGTAGTGTCCATGCAGGATCTGGTGTTACTGTTTGGTATTTCTGGTATTACTATTTCCTTAGCTACAACTTTGTAAAGCAGCATTTTCTATTGAGCTGTCTGTGTATTGAACTATGCTAGTGTGACTGTGTCAGAGGGCATGTCAGTACAAGCTGGTAGAGGTGGTACGAGCTGGTCGTATGCTTATCTTTGTTGTTTTTAATGAAAGCGATTGGCCCATGCTTGGCTTCCAGTGAATGCCTTTTCTTCTCACAGAACGCCCCTTTGAACGCAGCCAAAGGTACCTTCCATTGAGGTTGGTTTCTCCACAGGAATCAAACCACCAACCACCTAAGGGCAAGGCACATTAGTTATACATCACTTTACAGTTTATTGTAGGTTTGGGCAGTCAATCAAATTTTAAACGATTTTAGATCCAATGATTTCAAATGATCAATGGTGATTTTTTTTATATAGAAAGGTCTAAAGATAATCCTCTGTCAGAAAAAAGCATGTGTTTTAGAGCAGAGTTCAGCTTGGAGGTTTAAAATGAACAATTTACTTTCATTTAAATGGCACTAACTGTTTTGTCTATGTACATGAAATAATCATTGAAAGCCACATCTGTTTGTTTTTTAAAAAGAATTGAAAATCAAATGGAAAACTAATTTATCAATAATATCAAAAAATGTGTTAAATATCAAAATGTTTGTCTTGTGAATGCATATGAAATTAATATTATGTTTTTAAAAAGTAAAAATATGAATTGTGAATTGTAATTTATAGTGATTTAGCAAAAAAGAAAGAAAAAAAAAAAAAAGCCCCAGCCCTAATTTACTCTCAAATTACTTTCATATGATTCTCTTTACCTGTTGAATGCCTGGGACAGTTTCTGTGGTTGTCAGTGGCCATGTCTTTAGTTGAGAATCGAACAGCAGTAACATTCGCCAAAGCATCCGCCAGGTCTCCAGAGATGTGGCTCATATGAATGGTGTAGTGGGATGAGGGTCCGTCCAGGGAAAACGTGTACTCCGCCCAGTGTTTGACATCTCTCCAGTCCTCCAGGTCCACTCGCATGATATGAGCTCCCTGCTGAGAAACACTGTAGAGCTTCTGCAGCCCCAGCCAATAGTCCCCTGTGAAACATATAAGACAGTTAGTGTTTGTAGGTACTAGAGATGGGAAATATCAATATAAAAATTTAAAATATCAATATAATTTACTGTACTATTTTGAACTGCAGTAAAAGCCTCCTACGGACAGGTTGTTGAAATTTTTAATTAATTATAACTCTAGAAACAATCCATCTAGTTTGTCCAATGTAATTGCTATGTCCACATTAAATAAATCAAAAAATAATAATCATCAGTTGGGGTAATATATTGTACTACAGACTATATGGTCAATACTGTATAATAAAAAGCTGCAAAAAGAGCTGATAAGATGCATTTACATCTTAAGGATATGAAGTAGTATTTCTGTACTTTTGTGGTAAATTTTCCAGTCCATTCATGTTTTGGGCAATCCCTGAACCTTAACCAAGCAGCATTTACAGGCATGTTTTGGCACATTTCTGATGGATTGCTATTACAGTAGAAAGAAAATCATCGTTGGTATAACCTCAAATGTATACACTATTGTCAATATCACCCCTTTAGTAGGTACTTAAAGTTAGCCTTACTTATTATAGAGGTATTTTCAGCTATACATACTTTCAAAATTTCCGAAGCCCTTTTCGTATTTTTCCCATGTTTGGTCGAAATCCACCGAACCATCAACTCTCCTCTGAATGACAGTCACTCCTCCATCTGCGCATAAAAAAACACATAGAATGGTTTACTTGCACTTATGTTTACACTGGCCTTATCTGAAGTCGTCTTTATCTTAAGTAGTGCACCACATTGCATAATTCCTCCTTTCTGTTACTATCAGGCGGATAACCTTTTGTTGTGTCGAGATGGTTTTCTTTTAAAGGTGCATTGTGTAACTTTTCTGGTGGATGGTCTGTCATCAGATTTTTTCCATGGAGATTTGATCGCTTTGCCTGAAATGTTCCACAGTACGGGATTGCACTTATCTACCTTGCATTTTTCAATTGAACAGGATGGCCTCTCCACAGATATGACGTGTATCTTGGCTTGATGGTGTCACGATAGATACATTTAATGCAACTCTGTGGAGCATTTTGGGCAAAGCAACAATACTTCCATGGAGACAAGGAGGTACAGGACCCTCCACCAGAAAAGTTACGCAGCCTAACTGTAACTAACAAGAAAGTTGATTTACTAACATTGCATCACTTGTGAAAAGCCACTCACCTGATGTCATTTCACAGTAAACATTGAATGGCTCAGAGAGGTTGGGCTTTATCACATAGACTCCACTGTTCACCTCCCCTTTCTCATATAGTTCACTGCAGTCTGCAGGATAATCTGTGCAAAAAATATAAAACATAATTAGCATAAAATTGTCAAATGTTTCTAAATTAACAAATTTAATACTGAGCTTTATTAGGTGCACTATATAACTTTTTGGTTGGGGGAGGGGGAAATGTCATTGTTTGCATTCGATGTTCCACAGTATGACATTTAACAGCTCTACCATATATTAAATTACTGGTGGATTTATAGGTCAAAAATACCTAGAAAAACAGGCATTCTGTCTGTGAGCAGGGTTGCCTCTCCACAAATCTGACCTGTAACTTGGTCTAGTTTGAGCTTCATGATGATGATTTAAAATCATACTGTGAAACATTGCAGACAAAGCGATAACATAGCCATGGAGAAAAGCATTTGACGGACCCTCCACCAGAAAAGTTACAAAATGCACCTTTAAATGTTTGCTTACCTGTTGTGTTCACTGTTAGATATTCAAACATGTCTGGAGATGAAGGGTCAGAATCCATTGACTTTTCCATAGTTTCTTGGAAGTTGTCGTTGTTAAGCTGCAACCAATATTGAAGTTAGATTTTCACAACAAAGTATTACATATTAAAATGCAATGGTTCAAAAAAGCTACCTTTTCCTCCAGGTTTTTTATCTTAAGCTTTTGGCTGTTAAGCTGTTCGTGCTGTTCTTTAACTGCATTGAGTAGATTTGTAATGGTTTTCTCTTGGGCTTCGATCACCTCCTGAGAATGCCAACATAGAAAAAACAAAACAGATGATGAGCTTTCTTCATTTGCTAATCTGCACCTTGATTTTACAGTTTACTTTTGCTCTAAAACTTTGCAAACAGAAAAATTATCAGATAAAAAAATCTTACCTTGAGGCTGGATATTTCGCCAACTTGTTCAGGAGGGAGCAGAATCTGAGACAGCCCCTTAAGTTTCTCCTCCAGGCTCCCCACTTTGACCTGCAGTTGCATTCTCTCTTGCAGGATGTTGTTGATCTTTGAGTTAATTTCCAGTGACAGGTTCCTTATCTCCTCATTGTTGGCTTTCAGATAACTCGTAGTCTTTTTCAGTTCCTCCTCTTCCTCCTTAATCTCCGAAGTGACCACGGAAAGCTGGTAAAACGAGCGATCGAAAATGTTTAACTTTTGGAAAATATCGTTGATCTGGGCTTTGGTTTTGTGCACAAACTCCCGAAGACTCTGACCAAGCTGAAGCAAGCCATTTGCAAGCAACCTCACGTCGTCCAGCATTGCAAACCGTGACTTTGCCTCCGTTGAGCTCGGGGGTGTGGTGAGGGCCATGGAAGGCAATGTTGTATCTTCTCTACCTTCACAGTAGACAACAACTACCGTACTCACAAATAGTAGTAGGAACTTCATAGCGCTTTCTTTGCCTGTACAAATTGGCCTCTTGCTTTGCTCTGATGACAAAACTTCCTAAATGTGAGCGCAACTGCCTGCCTTGCGTTATATACTGCCCCACTGATAGAGGCAGAGAGGAGGGGGAGTGGTGGGGATTAGCTGATCATTAAACCCCAATGTGTTTTAGCTCAGAAACCAACCTCCTCTTGCTATCCCCCCTCCCTCTCTCTCTCTCTCTCTCTCTCCCTCCCTCTCCCTCTCTTCTCCTGAACAAACAAATCACAGTAGTGAGCAAATGACATCTGTACCTCCCTCCCCTTCCCCTTCCTCCCTCCCTCCCTCCCTCCCTCCACTCTGCCATTCATTCAACCCCAATCCTGCCCCCCTCCTCCCCTCTTGGACCACCACACCCTATGCTCCTCCATCTGGGGCATGGGGCTTTAGGCTGATCAGCAGAAAGCCAACAATAGCCATCCCAGTTTTTTGATTGATCAGTCTCATAACCTGGAGCCTGCACACTTTACTCTGATTGATAATGCAGTTTGTAATTAATGCTTCTAAGTTTGATTTAGCGTGGTGCTGATTCAGCCCAGGCAGGCTAGAGCGGGGGGGGAGCAGAGCGGGGGACAGGGAGGGCGAGGGGCACGGGGCTTGTCAGTTGTACCCGCGCCAGCAATGATGCCTCATTTTGGACGCTTTGTGCTCATCATCTTGATTTCACCGCTCAGTTGTGTCATATTTTAAAAAGTTTGTCAAGCCTGGTGCAGTATTTTTGACGGTGCTTGACACGAAATGGGAAAGATATGACTAACTGATTAGCTTGCAGTTTTTCACACCACCATGTCTGTACACCCAGTTGTAAAAACATTTTATGAGGCTTCATGAGGGGTCAATTAGTTGGTTCTTCAGCAGACAGTTCACTGGTTGAGAGCTTTCACCTATCCACTGTATTGTTCTGTAATTAGAAACAGAAATATAAAAAACTTGACACCTACAGACAGTAGTAAAAATCCTGGCAATAAAACTATTCGTGTGTGGTCACTACGTGCAACATTCACTGTGCTAACTCAAACAGGCTTGCTATTTTTAGGTTGACCTGTTAAAGGGGCCATATTAAACTAGGTTCTGATTATAAAACACAAAACCCTGCATATTTAGGCTGAGTTCTTATTTTAAACTGAAAACACTCATACAGGAAGTTCTCTACTGTGTTTGTAAACTACATACTCCTTCACTAAAATCATTTGGATAATTTCAGATGTGGAAGGTAAGAGGTAGATGTTAACTTGAACTAGGTTAACTAGGTGGAAGAGAGCATATTAAGCTGTGATAATGTAGATAGATTAATAATAAAGGGTCACTCAAACATGTGTGAATGAAATAAAACACAACTTTAGGTATGTTTTTGAGGAGGTAACAACATTATAACACGGCTTAAAGCTCAACAGTCAATTTTGCATAATATAGGACCTTCAAATTTTGGGAGGCAGGAAAATTACATCCAGTTTATTTATGTTACAATGCTAAATATGCTGTAGCTCACATCAACACCTCCTAATCAGAAACAGTGAGGAGTTGTGGTTTTACGGATGGGTCCCTTCAGTTCTTGGCCATGAATAAGTGTTTTTCTTTGTTATGAGTGGAGAGGGAGTTGTGGTCTTATGAAATAAATGGCCACACACTGAGTGAATGTGGCTGGAATTTGCTTGCTCAGCATAAAACTGGCAGTGATATGCAGTATATGTGGATCCAGAGTGCAGAAGCTTATAGACCAAAATTCCTGAGCCTAAACCCAACTAAACGATAAAATGTTTTTGGTATTTAAATTTTAAAAAGGGATTCAGTTTTTAATATAATGAAATTACTTGTTTGATTTGTCCACTCAAATCTTTCTTTTGAATATGGTGACGGTAGGCTATTGGTATTACAAATCAGTATTGCCAGCATAGTAAACCTGATCAGGCAACACATTTTGATCATTATAATTTTATGTTAATAATGTTGTGTAAAAGTGCCAATCATCCTCATGTGTTGTGGAAGTGTATTAAAATAAAATAATGTTGGGACAATTTTGCACCTGTAGTGGAAGAGGTATTTGACTATAAAATACCCAGTGAAGGTTATATACTTGGGCTTGTTGCATGTAAACAATATTTGAACTGAGCACTTCCATTTGTTTAAAGTGATGCTGATCGCTAGCAACAAAGTTATAACAAGGAACTGGTTGAAGAGTGACCCTTTGAAACTGAAAATGGGGGAAATTTATGTGATGGAAAAAATAACTTGCGATTTAAAGCTGGTAAATTTTATGATGGTCAAAATGGTCTATTTACAAAGTATACTCCAATGTATAACCACTTGTTTTTTTGCAGAATCCCACATATAGTGTGTTCTTTTATGTATGTTTGTTAAACCTTGAAATAAAAGGTAATACAGTAAATGGTAAAATAAAGGGAGTAAACAATTACAGTAAAAGTTGTCATGGTGGACATTCCCACGCTTCCTGTTCACTTGTGGTTCCAGCTGTGGTCCTGTGGGACAGTCTCTTTATTTATTTGTCCTTGTCACTGTGATTCTTCAGCTATTTGTGTATTTCTTATTAACTGATCCACCCCATTCTGATGAGCCCCTTTTATTCCACCAAAATACCCTTTTTTAAATGGTCTATATGGAGTGTCCGGACTTTTTTCAACCAGGACCACATCATGAAACATATACGAATCGGATGGCCAAGGACTGGTGGCCAGTACACTGGATCATTCAGATGGGTGCATTTTACATTTGCATTTTGACAGAGCCACCATGCCTTTAATTAGGTTTAAAACATTAATGTTATGTTTGCCCACAATGTAATGTCATAGTAGTAGACTGATTTAAATTTGCCGTAAAAATTTAAATTAGCTATTATCAATTGGACCAGGTTAGCTAACGACCTGAGGGTTAGGGCTGTAGTTGACTGAAGAAATTCTTGGTCAAAAAAGAAGCTCTCAAAACTATTGTGCATCTGTATGTATCGGACCCAAACTGCACTCAGAAGACTACACCTGCAGAAAGAAACCCAAGGAAGCAACTTGAATCATGAATTTAATGGCGCACTATGTAACTTTTTTGTTGGGTCTGTTATCTACTTCTTTCTATGAATATGCCATTGCTCTGCCTGGAATGTTCCACAGTATAACATATACATATATTACATTTATTAAATTACAGGTGATTTTATAGCTCACAAATACCTACAAAAACAGGCTTTCCAACTGTGAGTGGGATTGCCTCTTCACTGATCTGACCTGTAACTTGGTCTGGTTTGATCTCCATAATGATAGAAAGGTTTAATTCTACACTGTGAAATATTCCGGACAGAGAAATAACATTTCCATGGAGAAAAGCATTTGACGGGCCCTCCACCAAAAAAGTTACACAATACAGTACACCTTTAATCTTCCAAAAATACCATATCTTCAGATAACATACTCACTCACTTCTCCTTGCTGTTGTCCCATATAAATCCTTATAATCTACAAATTTTGGGTGACTAAGAAACCATCGACTGATTAACCTACTAAATGACTAAAGGACAACAGCCCCACTGAGGCTCAATAAATATAATTCATATTTTGGACACCCATGGTCTATGTTAAGTGCTCCTTTACAGCCCATACATGCCCATGTGTTTGTTAAACAGTCATTACTAAAGTTTGTAAAGAGGTCTGTCCTTGCTCTTATCAGTTCTTTGAATCTGATGTAACTGTAAAACTCAGTAACTGGGTCAAACACAATGGTAGATAATGAAAGAGGCTTATGACATAACAACACGTATTGATTCTTCCTATTGATATTTGTGTTAATCGCATTATACTCAGCAGATGTTGTGTCTTTGTGTTTTTCAGGAATCTACTGTATGTCAACCCTCAAAGTCTTAACTTTGCCAACCGCCAAGGCTCTGCCCGCAACATCACTGTCAAAGTGCAATTCATGAACGGAGAAGACCCAAATAATGCCATGCCTGTAAGTCAACATTTAAAAGCTTTTACTGGAGTTTTTGTATTGGGTTGTCAAAAGTATCAAAAATAAGATACTAATCAATACTAAAACTAGTATTGAAACTAGATACTCATTTGAGCAGGTATTGATACAAAAAAGTCACATCAACAGGACAGAAATGAACCTTTCCTGAATAGCTTTAGAATGACCTTGAGCTGTATCAGAAGACCACATAGACTAGTATACGCTCATGGACCACTATGGAAACTACCTGAACTAATGAAGGATTACAGAGATATAAAACCACATGGTAATAGAAAAGAAAATAATATTAAATATTAAATTCAATTGCTAAAGAATGAGTTTTTTTTTTTTATTAGCACTGTGGTATTGGTATTGGCATTGAGTAGAGTCTGTTTTTACATCTTTTTTTTAACTCTGACGTTTTTTTTATTGTATTTATTTAGGTCATATTTGGAAAGTCCAGCTGTGCAGATTTCTACAAAGAAGCCTATACTTCTGTAGTATACCATAACAGGTAGGTCCTTACAGTGAAGCATTGAAAGTTCTATACGATTTTATATTCTTTTCTGGTTCAATTCTTATATTCGATCTTCTGTCCTTGCTACAACTTTCACTAACCTGTAGTGGTTGAAGGGTGTCAAATATTTTATCACCACCATAAATGTTTTATGATATCCTGTGGTTTGTCATCTGTCACTAAGGGTCATTCTTTCAAGGCTAAAATTAATTAACCCGTGAATAATGTATCATAGAAAGTAGACCTGCATTGATTTGTCTTCTGTCAAATTTTTCAACAAACTTACATCTAGACTTAGTTTTGCTTGTTTACTCTAAGTTTAGTTTCAAATAGGTATGCACAAATTTGTATAAATATCAAATCTCTATTAAAATCACTACATTTGAATCTCAAAATCTGCAAGAGATGCTTTTACTTTTTATTTGTTGCATTTGTACATTTTTAAACAGGTACTTTAATACTTTTATTTAAGTAGATTCTTTCATGTGATACTTTTACTTTTACTTGAGTATAGTTTTGGTCTGGTACTGTACTTTTACTTAAGTAACAGAATCGACTACTTCTTTCACCACGGTTACATCAAACATAAGGGAAACTGCATCCATAACAACAACATTGCTTGATACACTAGTATCGGATATCAGCACTGATATTGAAAATTGTATTGGTTTGGATATCTGCTCCTTCGATATCAGTTCCATTGATATCCTATTTTGGTTTATAAATTTATGTGATAAGGACAATGTTGGCCCAAAACGTCTTGTAATATTTTTCAGAGGTGTTCTGTAGTTCATTGATAAATAACAGACACAAATAATGTTCTACATTATAGATCTAAATCTATGTATCACAAGAGAGACAAACAGGTTACACAATTACGTTATATTACACTTAAGATCTGTGGAGTGTTGCCCCATTCACAGAAGGAATTATTGTATTTTTGATACCATAAAATAGAAAAACCCATAATGAATACATGGATATGGATATGTTTAATGTCACACCTTGAACCATTCCAGACAAAGCAATAACATCTTCATGAAGACAAGTACGTAGCAGACCCTCACCAGTAAAGTTGTGAATTTTACATTTTAAAGTAAAGAAATAATGTTGTAAGTCTCTGCCTTAGTTTTGTTTGATATTGTGTATACTTAAAACCAGAAGTATCGAGATTGGTATCGGAACAGAAAAAGTTGAATCGGTGCATGACTAGTTTTAAACTGGTCCAGCTCCATTGTAGAGACAGTATGTTGCTGTAAGCGCCTATGGCTGACCTTCAAGTCGAAGGTTTCTAAAATTGGACAGTGATCTTGTGGGTTTGTTGCTTGTCTTATTTGAGTCTTCCAACTTTGGTTCTTAATGGTCTTGTGGGACGTAAAGCAATGCTGTTGTTGCATACTTGTGGACGCAGTTTTCCTTATGTTTAGATTTAACAGTGGTGAAAGTAAAGTAAGTAAGTAAGTAAACTTTATTTATATAGTGCTTTTCACAGATAAAATCACACAGTGCTTTACAGAGTGCAGGTACATCAACAATACAATAAGTATAACAGAAACACTAAATTCTGTTACTTAAGTAAAAGTACAGTTAGTAGACCAAACTATACTCAAGTAAAAGTAACGGTATCAGATGAAAACATCTACTTAAGTAAAAGTATTCAAGTGCCCGTTTAAAAATTTACTTAAAGAGTAAAAAGTAAAAGTATTTCACACAGATTTAGATTTTGATACTGAAAACAAAATACTTGTAATTTTCAGTCCAGTTAAAAAATGTAGTGCACTGTAGTATAAAGTATAGATACCTGCTCTCAGATGTAGAAGTGCAGTACTTTACTACTTTTACTTCATTACATTCCATCGCTGAGATTTAATAAATTCCAAGGTGAAATTTCATTACCAAACAAATGCATAAAACATTGTGTTTAGCATTAAGATGTTTTGAGATTACTGGTTTATATTTAGTGATTTTACATATTTAAATGTATTTTTCAGATCGCCAGACTTTTCGGACGAGGTCAAAATTAAGCTCCCTGCATCTTTGTCCGATCACCACCACATCCTCTTCACCTTTTATCATGTCAGCTGTCAGCAGAAGCAAAACACACCACTGGAGACGCCTGTTGGTTACACGGTAAAGCTTTAATTAATATATCTATTACACTTATATTTGTATGGCTTATTTAATAAAAACAACAGGTTCCTAGGTGCTGCACAATACGGATATAAGATGTAATGAAAATGCGTGATACATGATTTGTGCTCTCATAGAAGAATGCTGTTGTTGTGTCCTTAGGCCCCAATCTAGTGCCCAGTGTCTGTGTACACTGGTATTTGAATGTCTGTGTGAATGGGTGAGTGGTTCCTTGATGTAAAGCACTTTGAGTGCCTTGAAAGTGGAGAAGCACTATATAAATAAGTGACCATTTACCAAATATACAATAAAGCTCTGTTTAACACCACTCATCCCCGTTATAGCAATAAAATTAGCCAAATCTAATTAGAGCAAAAAATATCAGTAAATTAAAGGATAAAAACGTAAAAATAAATAAAAGACACAGTGGTCCACACAACTCACAGAGTGTTAAAGCCAGAGAAAAAGTGGGTCTTAAAGGTGTATTGTGCAACTTTTTGGTTGCAGGTCTGTCACCTGCTTGATTCTATGGATATGTCATTGCTCTGCCTAGAATGTCCAACAGTATGACATTAAACAGCTCTATCTTGCATTTCTTCAATTACAGTTGGTTTTATACCTCAAAAATACCTAGAAAAACAGACATTCTGACTGTGGGCGGGGTTGCCTCTCCACAGATCTGACCTGTAACTTGGTCTGATTAAGTCTCCATGAAGATAGAAATGTTTAATACCATACTGTGAAACATTCTAGACAAATCAATAACATCTGCATGGAGAAAAGCATTTGACTGACCCTCTACTGAAAAAGTTACACAATGATCTTTTAAAGTGAGATTTAAAACACTCCACTTGGGACTGTTTGGATGTGGGGTGGGGCTATTTAATCTCAGTAATTAGTAAGAAATGTATACCTGGATAGTAATCTCAATATATTTAATCTGATTTCTTGTGTTTCCAGTGGATCCCCATGTTGCAGAATGGGCGTCTGCGGACGGGACACTTTTGCCTTCCTGTGTCTCTAGAAAAACCTCCTCAGTCCTACTCAGTGCTCTCTCCAGATGTAAGTTTGCCACTTCAGTTGAATGACATAATGTTTATTTTCAGCGTTTTAAAGTGCTTTTGTATTCCAGGTTCCACTTCCAGGAATGAAGTGGGTGGATAACCATCGAGGTGTATTTAATGTGGAAGTTACAGCTGTCTCCACCATTCACACGCAGGTAATCATACATGATAACAAAAAAATCTTATCACTCAGCTGTAAAAATAACGTTAGGTTATGTTGTGTTCTTTTCAATTGGGTAACTTTTTAGTGGAGGAGTCCACCACTTGGTTGTTTAGATGCTATTACTTTTCATGAAATGTTCCACAGTAAGGCAATAATTTTCCAATTTTTTCAATTGCCTATGTTTTATTATTGGGAAAAAAGAAAAACTTGAAAATTATGCATTCTTACTGTGAGCGGGTTTGCTTCTCTTTTTTCTGTGACAGGCACAAGTTACATAGTACACCAGGTGAACTGTTTGTTTTGTTACAATTAACATCATGCGAGGATTGTAAAAATAGTAATCCTGCCTTAACTTCTGTACATATGATAAGACCTTGGCAGTCATTTCCTCAGGCTACTCTATCTCTGAGGCACTTGTGGTGTGGTGCACTTGAGTGTGGTTGAGTCTAATGTGTTCATAAATCACTGGTCCTGGCTCAGTGTTATCTGGACTTTGCCGTGCTGTTGTAGATCTTTTGGTTTGTAGCCTCCACTTGGTGAGCAAACTTGCCGTTTAAGAGTTATACCCAGATACAGCCAAGGTTACTGTGTTTTATTTGACAGTTTTTCTCTGTCATAAACCTTTGTTCTTCTCAGTAAGGCTGCAGCTAACAATTACTTTAGTACTTCTTGGTATTTCTTGGTTCTAACATTGTAATTGTACTTTTGTGTTTACTGTAAAGTACCTTGAACTTTTACTTTTGCTATAGTCCACAAGTCAGTTATTTTTCTGATTAGCTGACTAGTCAAATTATTATTTCTTTAGTACATTGAGATTGTTTATTTCTATTTTGATTCAATAATGCTGCTATCTTTGTTATGAAAGGTCTTTTGGCATAGGTTTTAGAGTCTGTTGTCCAGACAAAGATTACGGTATAAAAATATGATTACCACAGATGGGTGCACTAGGCAGTTTTCCGTATTGATTATATTGTACTTCGCCATGAAATATACAAAATTCAATTCACAAATGTGGAACTTTATCATTTAGATTAATGACTACTACACCTACATAGCAAATTTTGAAGTTATTATATATTGCCACAGAGGAATATAAGGATGAACAATAATATTGAAACAACTGTATGTCACTGACTAATTCCAGTAAACCATTAAAAAACACAGTATCATTAAAAGCATGAGCTACAAATAAATAACAATAATTAGTCCTGTGATGTGACTTTTTCATCTTTCTACAGCTCTAATCTTACTGTATTACATTACATAACAGAAACCTCCCCACTTTTGCTACAAAAATATGCACACCATAAATACTGAACCTCAAAATATCCAGCTTTCATACATTGAACGCTAAGTCGATAGTAATTGTTGTGACAGTCCTAATTACTTGATCTTACAGCATTCTTTATTACAATTAAAATCTGCATTTCATATTCAGTTTACCTCCCCCCCATTAAATAATACTGGCCTATAGAATGTTGCAACGTCATCTGAAACCCACCGATAGCCAACTAGTAGCAATTCCAATTAATCACTACAGACCTTCTCATCTTTGCCACTCTTTTCTTCTAATCTCATCTCCCTGTTTTTTTTTCCTCTGTATTTCAGGATCAGTACCTGGATAAGTTCTTTGCTCTGGTGCACGCCTTGGATGAGCACATGTTCCCAGTGCGGATTGGAGACATGCGTATTATGGAGAACAGTCTGGAGGCAGAGCTCAAAACCAGCATCGCAGCCCTGAACTCTGCTCAACTGGAGCCTGTTGTGAGGTTCCTTCACCTGCTGCTGGATAAACTGGTGCTGCTTGTGGTGCGCCCACCAGTTATTGCTGGACAGATAGGTACATCATAATTACATAAATCGGATAATAATAACATTGTGTTCATAAGAGTTCAAGCTTAGGTAACTGATTTTCACACAGGAAGAAGTATTTTTTAAGCAGTTAGGCAGTTATGATGACTTATCGTTCAGTATAGTCAATAGTTTATTATTAATCTTAATACGTTTATTAATTTTTCTTAAAATAGGATATTATATATTAATATATAGGCCTGTCACAATAACGATATACTGTATTTGCTATCATGACAGGCCTAAAAGCAGTCTGACTTGTTATAGCTTTCACAAACAAAAAATATTACATTGTTAATATTCACATACATTAATTTTCAGGCACATGCACAACTTAAAACTGCTTTTCAGGCCAATTCACAGCCAATTAGAGTGCTGCTTTCTGCAGTTACTTTCAAGTTCAAGAGAAAAAAAATGTTTTATTGGCTACAGACAGCACGGAGCAGTCTTTTGTCATTTAGTGCTGTTTTTTACAATATAATTTACTTATGCTTTTTTGTGGGTATTTGAAATTAAACTATATTCTCTTCAAATGTGTCTGTCTCTGCCTTTTATAGTGAACCTGGGACAAGCGTCATTCGAGGTCATGGCGTCTATAGTAAACCGACTCCATAAATATCTGGACACCAGCCAAGACATGCATGGACGCAACAGTCTGCTATCCTCCTATATCCACTATGTCTTCCGTCTGCCCAGCACTGACCCCAACTCCCCTTCACCGGGTATTCAACACAAACATTATACTGTGTTACAACATGTCTATATATTATTTTTGGTCATTTCTTTTGCTAAATGTTTTGTTAACTCTGTCTAACCCTGAGCTGAGGGCGTCTGTTTGACTATGCATGCGTCATTTTAACTTTATTTCCCCCCTATTTTTATTTTATGTTTTCCTCCATCTACATTCTGCATATTTTCTACCTGCTCTACAGACTCCGATTCAGCTTCAACAGGTACATATGCAAATGTTTAATGCTCCTTATTATCCTTTTCATCATTTTTGTTGTAACTTTATATCCTGGTGTTTTTAAAGCTTCCTATTTGAAAGTGTTTGCAGCACAGTTATAGCATGGTTACTAAAAATGTAATTACACGTGATAGAACAATGTGTCATGAAAATCTTACCCCAGTATGAATGAACACTACTATAAACAGTGTTAGTATTTTGCTTGAAAACAGATAAGGTACACTTGCTATTGTAACCAAACAATGTGCACAGTGGTCAGGAAGAAGTTCGAGGCACTCAAAATATTATGGTTAGTATTTTCTTGGAAATGTAGAAACAGAGCACAAACGTTAAGGTATAAAATGCTTTTATTCTTTGTTGTTTCAGCTGATGGTTGTCAAAATTATCGAAAATCACATATTAATTGATACTAAAACTAGTACTGAAAGTAGATACTCATTTGAACAAGTTTCAATACTGAAACAGTCACATTCACAGGACAGAAGTGAACCTTTCCTGAATAGCTTTAGAATGACCTTGAGCTGTATCACAACAAGTATAAAAGCACATAGACTAGTATACTGTACGCCCATGGACCACTATGTAACATACATGGGCTACTGAGGGATTACACAGATATAAGGCCACATGGTAATAAAAAGGAAGTACTAAGATTTAATATTGAAAACCACTTTGTGTTTTAACTACCATTATGATATCGAATTGGTATTGAGTCTATTCCTTAGTGTTGAAATTAAGTTTGAAATTTGAGGATCATGACGACACTGTTCCAGTTATTATGCTATATCCAGCCTATTACCATGCTATTACTGTTGTAAAGTCAGTAATAAAATATTATTTAATAATCAAAAACAAATGTATTCTCATCTCACTTTACATGCTCTATTGTATGTTCTTGTGTTGTCTTAGGCCCTGGTGGACTGGGAGGTTCCATGCACTATGCCACCATGGCTCGATCAGCCGTGCGACCCGCCAGTCTCAACCTGAACCGCTCCCGTAGCCTTAGCAACAGTAATCCTGACATTTCCGGGACGCCCACCTCCCCTGATGACGAGGTTCGCTCCATCATCGGCAGCAAGGTAAGACTATTAGGGCGCACTCTCACTAGGACTTTGAACCATGCCGTACGCAAGCACGATTGCGTAGGGTTCTATGGCCTGCACTCACACCTGCACAACCGAACTGGGCGCAGGCCGATGATGTCATCACTTGCCGCTGTTTGCTAACATGTCACGCACTAGTGCTATTGGTTTTAGCGGAGAAAATGAGTCAAGCAAAATGAAATATCTATGAAGTGGTGAGGCAAATACGAGTCCTGCTGGGATATGTGCTCTGCTGTGAGTTTATCGACATAATAACAGCGCGGAGGTGTGAGGACAGCCGGAGACGAGAGACCGCAAAACTTCTGTCGCTGTCCACAGTTCTTACTGAATATAAGCACGGATTAATCGTGTCATATGTACCGGAGTTTATTCACTATTTTCCTCATATAAATAACATTAGCACACACACAAGGCCCGTATAGTGAAGTCGAGCTTTGGCCCACCTTCTCCAACCACGCCAAAGTCCCAACCATGCTGTGCCTGGCCATGGTTTGATTGCGCTTACAGTGGACAAAGGTATCAGGCTTTATGGGCGATCAATTTTAAAGTCCTAGTGTGAGTGCACCCTTAGTTACAATGCTGTTTTTCAATGTTTTTCGTACATTTTCTACTACAAATAAATTTCACCACATCGACTTTCCACGTGGGTGTCAGGTAAATATTGGCCTACCTCTCTTGGTCCAGCAGCCACATTGATTAGCGATCATAAACTGTATACAGAAATGGACAAGCTGGCTAACCTGCTAGCCGCCACGTTACGAACAGGAAGTGAACATGGGTGCACTTCCGGCTTCACCAACTCTGTTTCCTGTTGAATTTACATCGAAATTTGTCGCCCCTCTCTCTGTTATTGCTGATGTGAGCCTCGTCATTTTAGTGTAAAAACGTTCTTATTAACCTGCTGTATATGATCTTTGTTTTTTTGGTTTTTGTTTTTTTTTTTAGCTATTTTATCTGTAAATAAATTCCTATTCCTAATATGGAACTCGGCTCCAAATTCACTCTTCTAACTGCAGGCCTTGGTGAGCTTCATTTGACTGGAGCCAAAAACTATGGGTGACGTCACACTCCCTTAGTCAACTTCTTTATACAGTGTATGTTAGTGATGTATTTTGGACCAAATCATAAAGGTGAACGTACTAGATGTATTATCGTAACCTACATCGTGACAGAGGCTTTGCATGTGCCCAGTGACCCTGAGATATATTTGATCAACATGTAAACCCTATTGCTCGTGTGTAAACAAAGGCCTGAACATCTTATCTGTCTAACCGCTGTAGCAGCAACCTACCACACACTTACAGTGTGGACAGCAGCTGAAAGGCGTGATTCACTGTGGCCATGTTTACCACTGATGCTGTTCACAAGATACAAGGCAGCATTGTTTAATAGTCGTATATAAGTCGCTTAGCCTGTTCAGCTCTAACTGGGACCTTTTTGTTCTTTTGTGGTTTGGTGTGTGGATAATTTGCGATTTGCTTAACTCTTTTTTTGTGTCTATTTTAACCCTTTTACCTTGAATGCAGCCACATGTTTGATCAGTATTCCTTTTGCTAATATTTAATCCTTTCCTTTTGTATCATAGGAAGGGAGAGGCAGTTCTTTCACATCTAAAGGGACAGAGATTAGTTTTTCTTAAAGGAACTGTATGTCTCCTGCATGCTTATATTTTTAAAAAAGGTATTACAATCTCAACTGAACCTGGATTGACAGTGCCTTAACTTGCAGATAGACATGCAAGTTTTTCTCATTCTCAGTACTGCATATAGATAGCATATACAGCAGCTGCAGAGGTACTGATTAATGATTGGCTGCAGGGGCTGGGGTTTGGGTAGTGAGGATTTAGATCAGTGAGAAGGATTTTAGGTTTAAACCAACTGGATTTCAGCGTTGAAACTGGTAACCCAAATAAGAAATTCATGTGAGACTTATTCTGCTTATTGGTTTGATAATCATCTTGGGAACCAAAGCCTGAAATTATAACATAAAAACTGGCCCAACATGTTCGATGTTTTTTTTTTTTAAATAATTGAGATTAAATCAGTATTAGAATCATTATCAGTGAATATTTGATTGATTTGAGTTGAGTAAGTTACTCTAAAACTCTTCTTGAGGGCAGAACTTATTCAACACAGTAGTATAAACCCCAGTGTCTCAGACCATTACATTTAAAATGGCTTCTGGATGGTAGCCGAAATATTTTGATTGCAAAAACAGTGTCCAGATGACTACTGCGGAAACCATCTCTACATGTCTACCTCATATTTAGGGACATGGTTAGGTTATGTTTATGGAATTTAAAATCATAATATTTCATGCAGTTCCTTTAACTTTACTCCATTATGATTTCTGGCCCTTGGTGTTTTCCAGCAGTGGTGACCTGTGAACCTGTTTAACCTGTAACTATTGCTTCCCTCCTCCTTCCCCGTGCTGCTCGCTCATCCCTTGTTTCCTGCCTGGCCTTGTGTCTCTTGACCTTTGACGTTGGCGCCCCTGTTTAGGGTTTAGACCGCTCCAACTCCTGGGTTCACTCCATGGGCTGTAACAGTGACCCGTGGGGATCCAGCCCTGGGTCTGCTCCAGAAACCATGCAGGTGGTCTTACCAGTGCCCCCTCCTCCTTCACTCAACCTCAGCTAGGCCCACTCACTATCACATCACGTTCAAAAGATATTGGAACACTTGAAGTTTTGGTTTCTTTGTGCTAAAATAATTTAAGAAAGTACACCATGAAACTTTTCTGGTGGAGTTTTTGTCCCCTGCTTGTTTTCATAGAGATGGTATTGCTTTGTCTAGAATGTCCCACAGTAGAGATTAAAAAGGGACAACTATAGGCCACATTAGAGGTTAGATCTGTGGAGATGCAACCCTATTCACAGAGAGAATTGTTGTATTTTTGAGCAAAAGAAACATCCTACATGCTAGATAGACCATGAAACATTCCAGGCAAAGCAATAACATCTCCAAAGTTATGCAATGCACCTTTAATCTTTCATGAATTATGAAAGCACAACCTCCATAGCTCAAAGAAAAAAGTTCAAAACTCCAAATTACAATATTCTCTTGAACGGTGTCAATAGAGCTACCATTTTAGTATGTAGCTTTCACAAGATCTAACATTATTTTTTTCTCAATTATGTTTCTATTACTGACTTAACTACACAACCTATAAAAAGCACAAGACAATCTAATATGGTCTGTCATTGTGTTTTTGTGAAGGGAAAAAATATGTTAGATCTTACCTCATACATTTTTAGTTTACAGTCAATGTGTTCCTTTAGCTTCTTCTGTATTTCAATATTTTTTTTAATTTCTTTGCTTTAACCTTCCCATTTAATGTAGTTATGCATGACCTGACACTAACCATAGCATAGCATCCTTCACTGGTGCATGGTGTATCTGCGTATGTGTGAAAGTGACCCTGTTCACCTGTCCTGTTCCTGTCTGAGTCACCTTTTAATTATTATTTATTTATTTGTTTTTGTCTTTTGTCATTTTTAGTTATATTTGTATTATTATTAAACAGATATTTACTATGGCTGCTCAAAATGTCGATTCTAGCTGCTCTGAAATTCAACATAAGACATAAATGTGAACCTTAAAGTGCACTATGTAACTTTTCTGGCAGCGGGAAGAGGATTCTGCAGCCTGTTTGTCTCCACGGAGATTCTTGAATGTTTCATGTTATGGCATTATTTTATCTGCCTTGCTTTTATTTTTTTTTATGTGTGTTTTTACTGCTCAGAAATACCTTGAAAAACATGAATTCTACTGTGAGCCAGCTTGCCTCTCCACAGATCTGTCACATGGTCTGGCGGCTTTATCTGCTTGTCTCTATGGAGATGGGTAATTTTAATGCCATCCTCTGAAACATCACTGGCAAAGTCATTCATAACATGTCTGTGGAGACAAGCAGATGGCAGGTGCTTTACCAAAAAAGATACGTAGTGCACCTGAATAGAATGATGTGTAATTAATTATATCTTCTTAAATGTTTAGTGTATAGTTTTTGCATTAACTTGTCTATTGTGTACCTGCCTTGTCTGTCTTCATGTATGTGTGTGTGTGTGTGTGTGTGTGTGTGTGTGTGTGGATATGTGAGGGAGTGAATGAATGTGAGAGAATATCCACAATGTATTTTCCATGTATGCATTTTGTGTGTGTGACCGTCCGTGTGTGTGTTTGTGTGTGCGTGACTGTGGCAGACACATTTTCCTGAGGAGGAAAAAGGTGCTTCTCCACACTCCCGTTGCTCCTCCACTAACCTGTGTTCACGTTCATTCATCCCACCCTTAGGCCATGGAGCGCTGTGGTAATCGCATGTCTTCGCACACTGAGAGCTCCAGTTTCTTGCAAAGTTTAACAGGACGATTGCCCACAAAAAAGGTAGAGCCTCTTGCACCGGGGGAGGAGACAGACCTGCCCCGCTCTTCTCTTCTCGTCTCTCCTCCTCTCTTTTGTCTTGTCTCGATGTGTGCATTGGATTGGTTGATGTTGTGTTTGTGGTGAATGCTGAATGGTCCACTGATCTGCCTCTTTCTCAGAGTTATGAATGTTTGCTGGGGTCTGGCTAACACAATCTGAGCTGAACTGATGTCAGCTAACTGTGAGAAGCTTGTATAGTGCATTTGTCTGTGTGCTACACTAATAAACATGATAGAATGAAGATAGCGTTAGCTTAGGCAAAATAAGACATTGTTTCAGCTACAACACAGCGTTACAGAGTTCCCAAATTGAACACACTACCATTCAGGTATGGACACACTATCTCACTATCTCACTCAATGTTTTTTTTTTTTTTAAGTCCATACAGAAGACATCAAATATATGAAGTAGAGAAAAGAAAGTTAAGTAAGTTTACTAACTATTTTAATCTATTTTATATTCGAATCCTCAAATAGCCACCCTTTGATTTCTCGAAAAATATTAAGTACAGGTATTTAACTTTTTTCTTTACTAAATAATATATTTGATGTCTTTGATGTACAGCAAATAGTATATAATAGAAAGTAGTAAACATATAGAAAAAAAAACATTGAATGAGAGGGTGGGTCCAAACTTTTGACCCGTGTTTATATATATATATACAAGAGAATATAAGTGGTATTGCACCAGATGCACTGTATTAGCCAGTGTCTGATATTTAGAATAAAGGATAATGCAAACTATGTTGAAACAAATATTGCATTCCAGCTTTTGAACTAACAGTTGTGATTTGCATGGCAGCATTTTGAGTGTAGCTAATGTGGCTTATTACATCAACAATGCTTTTTTCAATGTTTATTTTCAGTGTTGGGGACTTGTAATTAAATAAAAACATTGAATGTTAATATTAGTGTTAATATTAGTGTTATAATTATACTATTATATTAGTTGCATTCCCTTGTTTTTAAAATACAATTAATTAATTACTATAGAATTTACTGAAAATAGTTACAGTTATCCTCAGTAGTAAATGGCATTATTAAAACTTTTTAATGAAAATGTTAGCTTCAAGATCTAGTTTTAATACATTTTATTAACCTTTTCCTCTTGTGTCTTGTGTGTTTTGTTTTATTTGTTTTAGCTGTTTCACGAGGAGTTGGCTCTGCAGTGGGTTGTGAGCAGTGGCAGTGTCCGTGAGGGCGCTCTCCAACAGGCCTGGTTCTTCTTTGAACTGATGGTAGATTACATTTAATGCTTAGTATATTACCTGTATTCCTAATTTTAACTGTCAGTAACAATCAACTTCTTTGTCACAGGTGAAGAGTATTATCCACCACCTGTACTTCACGGACCGGTTGGAGTCGCCACGGAAACATCGCTTCCCAGAGCGCTTCATGGATGATATCACAGCCCTGGTCAGCACCATCGCCGGGGATATTGTATCTCGCTTTCAGAAGGTATGGTTTTCATATCAATTTGTTTTTAACTTATACATTATGTTACCTACACCAGTCTTTTATACAAATGTACATATTTTGTCTTGTGTTTTAAACCAGGACTTGGAGCTTGTGGAGAGACTTAACACCAGCCTGGCCTTCTTTCTGAATGATTTGCTCTCAGTAATGGACAGGGGCTTTGTCTTCACTTTAATAAGAGCCTATTGGAAGCAGGTACACTTAGTAACAGTTGTAGTGTGATGGTATAAAGTGACAATATATATAATAATTTAATTAGAATTAGGTTAAGTAAACTAATACTATCTTTTCTTTGAGTGGTCCAGCACCTAGTTGTCTCCATGGAGATGTTATGAATTTCTTGGAAAGTTCCACAGTATGGCAATAAGTGTTACCAAAAAACTTGATGTAGACTGTTTTTTGAAAATTAATTATATCTTTATTTTGAAGTGTTTGTTTTCACACACAATTAATGTTGAAAATCATGCAGTTTGCCTCTGTATCTTGCCCTTATGGCATCACCTGCTTGTCTTCATGAAGATAGATAACATTAATGTCACACTGTGGAACATTCAAGGCAAGGAGATGAGCAGGTAGTTGACTCTCCCCCTGGAAATTTACAAGTGCATCTTTAAGAAGGGGTTTAGGCTGAAAATTATTTTTCCTAACCATCACATGCAAGTAAAACATTCAAGTAAACTTGCTAGAATTTCATAAGACTGTTATTAGAGATATCTAGGACTGTAGATTGTGATGTACTGGGACACGTCATACAAAACAATACTCCAAACAGAGAGTGAAGACGGACACCGGAATGACTTTGAGGAGATTTAATGTCCTTTCTTGTATCTTTTTATCCATTTGTTTATCTATTCTTTTGTCTGGTAATCTGCAGGAACATTTAAATCATATTACTACCTGAAATAACTGTCACATCGTGGGAGTAGCTAGCACATAAAACAGTTTACAGCAATCATCCAAAATCATCCAAACCACAGCATGGTATTAAGCACGTCATAGTATTACGTAACAATTAAATAGACAATATAAATATTTACAAACCCACCTCTAACATAGATACACTTATATAGGTTATAGGTATTGATCTGAAGCTACAGCAGTTAGGCCAGAAGTAACAGCATTACAGTGGTGCTTCCAATGACCTCTGAGCTGCCTATGAATGCCTGAACTAAATAAACAGTTTCTGAACTAACAGTTATACTGGGGAATTTACAACAACTGTTATCTCTTTCCATTTTGTAGGTGTCAACGAAGCTTTATAATCTCCAAAACCCCACCCTGGAGTCTCTAAGGCTGGATTTCTTGAGGATTGTGTGTAGCCATGAGCATTATGTCACACTTAATCTCCCGTGCAGCCTGCTCACCCCCCCAGCCTCCCCATCGCCTTCTGTGTCATCTGCCACTTCACAGGTCAGAATACATATAAACAACACTTTATTAAGACACTAGCCTATATGTACATGAAAATCACTTGTATTTTTCATTCATAGAGCTCTGGTTTCTCCACTCATGTCCAAGACCAAAAAATAGCCAACATGTTTGAGCTGTCAGTTCCATTTCGAGAGCAGCACTTTTTGGCTGGGCTGGTGTTGTCTGAGCTGTCTGTGATTCTAGAGCCAGAGAATGAAGTGTAAGTGGACTTTTCTTTTAGGATTAAACGTGCATTGTGTAACTTTTCTGATGGAGGGTCTGTCAGATGCTTTTCTTCATGGAGGTGGAGTTATTGCCTTATCTGGGATGTTTCACAGCATGGTATTAAACCTTTCTTTCTTCATGGAGACCAAACCAGATCAAGGTTATTTATTACTAGTTTAGGGACTAGAGTTGGTATTAGTTAGGGTATTAATTAAGTTGATACTATGCCTGTATCATTATTAATAAACAGTTTGTTCATTATCAATTAAATTCATAATTTATTAAGGCTATGAAAATAATTAACAGTATTTTTCTTTAACAATGCTTGTGTTTTGTCCTATTTTTCAGGATGTTTGGTCTGCATAAGAAAGTGGTAAATGTAGTTCATAACCTGCTCTCCAGTCATGACTCTGACCCACGGTATGCCGACCCAGAGGTCAAAGGTCGAGTTGCCATGCTGTACCTGCCTCTAATTGGGATCGTCATGGAAGCACTGCCTCAGCTGCACGACTTCACTGGTACATACTTCAACAATATATATACTTAGGGGCAGGTTACATTAACAATTCTATTATTCCAGTAACAGTAATCAGGTGATTTTTTTCTTAAACTATCCAAAATGTGCTAGGTTGAGATTTAAAAAATGTATGGGCCAATTATCTATAGATATATCACTAAATACCAGCAAGTTTTTGTTCATTTTCTTTTTAATCATTTCTTTTTGTTGTGTTTTTAAAATAATTTTTATTTAGATTATATAGAAATTTCAAGTTGTCATATGTACAAAATACAAATTTTCATATTTCATGCATTTCTATAAATATATCTGTATTCTACTTTAAGGTCATATATTATGCAAAATTTACTCTTGTGAGTATTAAGCCATGTTATAATGTTGTTACCTCCTCAAAAACATACCTGGAGTTATTTTTGTTTCATTCACACGGTTGAGTAATCCTTTATTATTATTCTGTCTACATCTCCAAATCTCAGAATGCTTTGTTCTCCCTTGTGATGTCATGAAGCAGTAGGGTTCAAGTTAACAACTGCCTTTTTATCTGATTTACTACAGAATGTCAGTTCCACGGCTGAAATTATCCAAATAATTGTAGTGAAGGTGTATGTAGTTTAATAACACAGTGGAGCACAGTGTTCATAAAACACAACACTAGCTATGTTTTTTTTTTTATTTAAATTTTTTTTTATAAGGAAACCACATTATAACATATATCAGAAAACAGCATAATATGGGCCCTTTAAACTCTTCACAAAATGTCATTGTTAACACAGATCACTAAGAACAATAATGCACAACAACTCGACCAAACTGTAACCTTTCCATGACCTTCAGTTAGTTCATCCTATATTCCAAAAGGTTATCAGATGACCTGAAAAGTGAATGGCCTTGAAACAGTGTACCAGCTGATGTCAAATTACCAGTCAGATTTAGTTTTTCTGCCCTCTAACCTTAAACAACACTAGACCTTTGCACTTGAACGTAGCATCTGTTATGTAATTGTGCTTAATTTGTGTACTGTTGTGTTGCACATTTGTGGTTAATGTAAGTAATCCACCAAAACAGGATTATCAGACAAATCAGAAAAAAATTTGATGAAATTCATTGTTTCTTATAATCTTTTCTCTCCATGTTTTTAAATAATAAATAATATATAATTTAACAGTGACCCCAGTTTCCCACCTCTGCATTTTCTGCAGTTTCAAACAAATTCTGACATTAAAATTTAAGCTTGGTCTCTGGTGAAATGTGCTCGAAAATGTTCCAATTAAAAATGTGTTGTTGTGTTCTTTGTTCTGTCCTTTAGAATCCCATAACCAGTGGGGGCGTCCTGGAGCTCCCCCGGGGGCAGCAGTGAGCAGCAGTGGTGAAGAGGCAGAAAGTGAAGCTAACATAATTAACCAAACTGTTGCCATGGCAATAGCAGGCACCTCCACAGCGTCGCCAATGTCCCGACCGAGCAGCTTCATGCTCAACTCCCAGGTGTGTGGATTTTTCTGTGGGCATAAAGGGGAACCTTGCATTAAACTTGTACATTTCCATGGAAACTAGCAGGTGACAATAGCAAATCAAGTTGCAGGACAGATCGGTGTAGAGGCGACCCCACTTACAGTAAGAAATCCTGTTTGCCAAGCATTTTGAGCAATAAAACCTTGAATAAATACAAGAGAGATAGAAAAGTTAGTTTGTACACCTTTAAGTGAGACACATCATTATTCTTTTATGATTCCTGTTATAAAATTGTTCTTTGATTCTTCTTCAGACCCCACGTCAGCATGGGAGCTTTTCGGCTGAGTCCAGTCGCAGTCTGTTGATCTGTCTCCTGTGGGTGCTCAAAAATGCAGATGAGCTGGTGCTACAGAAGTGGTTCACTGACCTGTCTGTGACCCAGCTCAACCGCCTTCTGGACCTACTTTACCTCTGCGTATCCTGCTTTGAATACAAGGTAACATTATGGAAAGGCATGAGTTATTCACCGTATTTTAACTCGAGATGCACTGATCCTGCTTTTTCAGTTCTGATATGATATTTATGCTATCTGCTAATATCAATCAAGAGTATGGCATCTATACACATTTAGGATAATAACATGACATTTAGACATTCACGTTGGCTTGCAGAATCACATATTTATAGTTTCCTCATCACAAACATACCTGGAGTTTTGTTTTGTTTTATTCACACGTTTAACACACAAACCTTGCATATATTGGCTGAGTTCTTCTCTCAAACAGAAGACACTCTGTTCTATCTTGTGATGTCATGTGGTAATACAGGAAGTGTTCCATTGTGTTTTTCAACTCCATACGCCTTCAAAAGAATCATTTGGATGATTTTAGCACTGGAATTGCCACACTTTACACAACAAAGGGTAAAAGGTAGCTGTTAACTTGAAAACTACGGCTTCATGATATCACGAGGTTGAACAGAGGATTTTGAGCTTTGGAGATGTAGACAGCCCAATAATACAGGGTTACTCAAACATGTGTGAATAAAACATAACACAGCTCTTTATTAAACTGATCCGAATGTGTTATGTAACTGTAGAGCTACACTGAATAAATGAAAGTGTAAACTTCAAGTGACCTTATGGACCAGCAGCAAATAGTCTAATTACATTGATTGGCCTAACCCTGAACTGATATCCTGACATCCTGACATCCTGAGATCCTGAAATCCTGAAACTCTGAAACTGATACCAATATGAATGTTGATAAAATCGTTTAGAATCCAGAAGAACCAATGGCCAATGTGCTCTGGTTTTTGGGCTGATATGTGGGGCAGATTTAGGTAATTTTTCCCAAATTATCAAATAAACCATCTACAACCTTTTATTTTATTTATTACAAACTGCAGAGTCCAGAGTAGTCACATTTTTGCAGTACCCTCTTTGGACTAAAATGTTCAAATAAAGATTTATGCCCGCATTTTTCATGCATATTTAGGCTTCTGGTTGGGTCAAACAAAATATTGAGCTCTGCTGAAGATTTATAGCCGATAGGGAATACACTAAAAAGAGCAAATATCGACCCAGTATATATAATATTAATTGAAAGTGCTAACTATCGGCCTTTGTACAGAAATTTCAAACCTTACATTTCATTGAATAGTTGTTTTGCCTCTGCTCTTCTGTCTGTAGCTTGGTGCGTTCTTGCTATGTGAAATGCTGGCTATATACACTTTTGCAATATTGTCTCTGTTTTAAAGATGCACTATGTAATGTTTTGGTTAAGAGTCCTGCCATTTACTTGTTTCTATGTATATGTCATTGCTCTGCCTAGAATACCCACAACATGACATAAAACAGCTCTTCCTTACATTTATTAAATTACGGATGGTTTTATAGCTTAACAATACCTAGAAAAAGAGGCATTCTGTCTGTGAGCGGGATCGCCTTTCCACAAATCTGACCTGTAACTTGGTCTGGTTTGGTCTCCATGAAGATAGAAAGGTTTAATACCATACTGTGAAACATTCCAGACAAAGCATTATGATCTCCATGGAGACAAGCATCAGAAAAGTTGCACAGTGCACCTTTAACTAGCATACATTTTACTGTCTTGCTTCTAACTTGCTTTGCTTGCTGAGTGCTGTGCTGCAAATAACTTCCTGGCTTCTTCTCTGTCCGCTTACTCTCTCACCCTCGGCTTCATGGATACAAGGCCCATGTTGTGTTCACAATGCAGGGGAAGAAGGCCTTTGAGCGAATGAACAGCCTCACATTCAAGAAATCCAAAGACATGAAGGCTAAACTGGAGGAGGCTATTTTGGGAAGCATCGGGGCCAGGCAGGAGATGGTCCGTCGCAGCCGTGGTCAGCTAGGTGAGATAAAACTGGTCTCTGGAAAGCAATCACCTTTATACCGACAAGTACTGTGACTACGCTGTCCAGTCATAATTGAATTTCCCCAAAAACTGCTTACACAACTTTTTTTTTTTTTTTTTTTTTTTCTGAACAGAATCTATCCATGTTGTAAAGGGATCTATAAATAAAGATTGATTGATTTTCTCAAGTTAATAATAAGCCAAATTGCTGGAAATCAGAACTGAGTGATGTTGATGGAAATACCAGTAATGCTATTATATTGAAATTATAATAGTATGAGAAAATTCATTGGTACAAGAGATTCAGTTCAGGTCTTTATTCTTTAGTTTTTAGTTGTACATATACATTTATATAATTATGCCTTATTTGGCACCGGTCTTTTATTCTTGCTACTTATTTTGAATTCATTATTACCATTTATATACATTGCTCTTTGTTATTAAAATATACTGTCATGTGTGAGCTGGTGTGTCAAAATAATTTCCCTTGTGGCTTGTTTAAGTCTAAGTCTAAGTATGCATAGTATAGAGATGGACATAGCTAGCCTACTAGCTGCCATGTTCCAAATAGGAAATCTAACAGCTAACACTCCCTCAGTCCACTTCTACATACATTCTATGTGCATGTCACTGCAGCGACTGTCTGATGCTCTGGTGGGGTTGAGTTTGTCTAACCCCACAGGCTGGATGCTGCAATTCTGACCAAATATGTCACGTGTTAGTGTGTACACACGTTTTTAACTGCCGTTTAAAGTCAATAATTGTTTGTTCATGTTTTAGAGCGGAGTCCTTCTGGCAGTGCTTTTGGCAGCCAGGAAAACTTGCGCTGGAGAAAGGACATGACCCACTGGAGACAGAACAGTGAAAAGTTGGACAAGTATGTGCATTTCTGATTTAATGAGTGCATGTTTTCTCTAAAAGCCTGAATTTCTATATTTCATGGTATATTTAAGAGTATACATACCATAAGCCTAATTATTTGTATACCCTATCCTTCCTCGCACCATATAAGTTTCCCCAAAAAACACTTACCAACATTGAATCATTCCCCTGTGTTATTTTGTTATAAGAACAGAGTATGTTTTCATCCCTGTTCTTAACCTAAATATATTGATCACTTTTTGTTAACTTTCATTTGTTTTCTCATGTTGCTGTGTTTATGTAGGAGTCACAGATCAGTCAGGTATTGTATGGACATTTGCTGTGTGCTCAGTATTTAAGGCAATGCTTTAGTCTCCCATTTATCATGTATTCATATGCATGTGTGCAATGGTTCAGTTCTTAGGATACTTAGGATAGTGGGGAGGTTGTTTTTAATGTTTATTTAAATGTGTAATCTATGTAATCTTTATAATCGATTTTAGCCTCCTTAGAGATGTTAGTGCTTTGACTGGAATGTTCCACAGGATGGCATTAAACCTGTCTCCATGGAAACAAGCTTGCAGGTGATGCCACCAGACCACCTGACAGGTTAAATATTTAGAAAGGCGACCCATTTGAAAACTTGCCTGATGGATAATTTTAAAGTCATACTATGGAACATTCTAGGCACAGTAATAACATCTCCATGCAGATAAGCAGATGGCAGACCCCCCCATAGAGTTGGAAAAAAATCAACCATAAATTTGACAGTCATACAAAATAATACATTATTTAAAAACTATAACATAATTCCCTATCAAAATTCTGTAGATAAAATCGGGTAGACTACTAAAAGGAATGTCATCTATTTAGTGTTAATGCAGGACTGTATGAGATATAGTAAGGTATATTGTACATTTGGCCCATGCATTTGAATACCCTAACCTCCCACCAGCCCTGGTTCTGACCCTCTCATCTGACTCCAGTCCCAGTAACAGTGTTTGTTTCTGGTACATACAGTTTGTAGCTGTTGCCGTGGGTCTGTCATGCTTTTAACCCATGTGCTTGTTTTGGAGCTGCAGTTTATGTGTGTCCTTTTGATTGGAACTGCTGGAACAAGCAAAGCAAATACTATAGTGAATAATACAGATTAGACCACATAATGTAGATTACAATGTTTGTAGATGTATTGGATCAATGAGGCCAGTTCTTGTGCATTTTAGTGTGGTTTACGCACGTTGTAGAGAGTGTATCGATTCTGTTTTTTGTTAAGACAAATCTGATAGAGGAAGGAATAAATTGTATATTTCAATTCAAATTAATTTACAGAGCTCATTTAAAACAGCTAAAGCCACTAAACAGTGAAGATACATTATATTATATAAATGTCACTCTCTTTTAACTCAATATTGAATTTGATAGAGATTAATTTACTTAATTTGAGTAAAATTATTAAGTGGCTCATAGAAATATGTTAAAAACATAGCATATCTGGAGTGTGACTGTTTTATTTCTAACTTCAGGACAAGAGCAGAGCTGGAGCATGAAGCACTTATAGATGGAAACCTGGCAACAGAGGCCAACCTAATTATTCTGGATACATTGGAAATCATTGTACAGGTATGTGGACAATATGAAATTGAAACAAATATTTAAATATAACTTGTAACTTATGTGGTTCATTGTTACAGACTGTATCCGTGACTGAATCCAAAGAGAGCATCCTGGGAGGAGTTCTGAAGGTGCTGCTACACAGTATGGCCTGTAACCAGAGCGCCCTCTACCTGCAGCACTGCTTTGCTACACAAAGAGCACTTGTGTCTAAGGTTTGTCTCTTCGTGAAATGGGTAAAGTAGATCAAATTTGTACTATCTTACTGAAGTAAAAGTATAAAGCAGTAGTCAAATAAAGTATACTATCAATCAATGACACTTTATCTATAGAGCCCTTTACGACACTCAAGGTGACCAAAGTGTTTTCCATTCAGCACAATATAAATACTGTTAACTGTTTGTTTGTAATCTGATTTATAATTTTAAGTTGATTTTTTTGAAATGACAAAACATTGAATAATGCATAAACTCTGGTATTTTCAAATGAGAAGACTATAAAAATTAGATAAACGTTAGAAACATGTTTAAATCATGTAAAACTTTGTCAGTTATAGATTTACTCACAGTGTAAAGAGTAACCAGAGTACACTGTCAAGTATTCAGCTCTAACTATTCTGAAAAGTACAGTCTCTTTAAAAAGTTACTCAACTAAATGGAATGGAATACCATCTACCCAAGTATCTTCATTTTCAAAAACACTGATCTTCTCCTCTATTCTTGTCTAAGTGATTGTTTATTTTGTATTTCCAGTTTCCGGAGCTGCTGTTTGAAGAGGAGACAGAGCAGTGTGCAGATCTTTGTTTACGGTTGCTAAGAAGCTGCAGCAGTAGCATCAGCACCATCAGATCTCATGCCAGCGCTTCTCTCTACCTCCTCATGAGACAAAACTTTGAGATAGGAAATGTAATTGTTCAACTGCACTAAAAAACTTATAATTTAACTAACTTGAGCCCCTGTAATACAATGATATCTGTGTGTGTCCATCAGAACTTTGCTCGGGTGAAGATGCAGGTGACCATGTCCCTCTCATCTCTTGTGGGAACATCTCAAAATTTCAATGAGGAGTTTTTACGCCGTTCCTTAAAAACAATCCTCACGTATGCAGAGGAGGACCTGGAGCTCAGAGAAACCACATTTCCAGACCAGGTACACACTTTAAATTTTGAAGATTGTAAGATGCTGAGAAATGTATGCATTGTCATGTACTATATATACTAACAGAAAGATTTTGGGCCTTGATTTTAGATTGTTATGGTTTAAGTTCCAGTTAATATGAGCTGTGCTTTGCTCTCCAGGTTCAGGACCTTGTATTTAATTTGCACATGATCCTGTCAGACACAGTGAAGATGAAAGAGCATCAGGAAGATCCAGAGATGCTCATTGATCTGATGTACAGGTAAAGACTGCAGGCACCTTATTAGTTAGTGTTGTCATGATACAAACTAATTACAAATTGAGATTTAAATGCCCTCTAGTCTATTTCAGAATACAAAAATTAAATGTTGTATGTTTTTTTTTTCCTTTTTCATTATGTGGTTTAATACGAGTTTTAATATAGATCAATTCTATTATAAAATTATTCAGACATGGTCAAATCCTTGTCATATACATTTATTTGTCTGTATTCATACTTTTTCAAATCAGTGTCTTGTTTTAGTATTAATTAGCATCTGGGTATTGATTGCAACCCTAGTTTAAACTTGTTGCAGTATTTATTGTAAGTCTATATTCTGTGCATTGGTGTGACCTGTGGCGACTGTTGCCGTGCAGAATCGCTAAGGGTTACCAAACGTCTCCGGACCTGCGGCTCACGTGGCTCCAGAACATGGCTGGGAAACACTCAGAGAGGAACAACCACGCAGAGGCTGCCCAGTGTTTGGTACACAGCGCCGCCCTGGTGGCTGAATACCTCAGCATGTTGGAAGATCGCAAATATCTCCCTGTGGGTTGTGTCACGTTCCAGGTAAGACATCAAAGTTATTATTGCATCCACCAAATTAATGTTTTAGTTGGTTGATTAAAGTCAGTCATGACTAGGAAGTTGACTTAAAAGCAAACTAAGGAACTTTTCTGGAGGAGATTACGCCACCTTCCTGTCTCTATGGAGAGGTTATTGCTTGAATGATCCACGGTATAGCATTAAACCTATCTATTTCCATGGAGATGAGCAGGAGATGGCCACCAGGCCATGTTACAGATTAGATCTTGGCAATGATGACCCAGTTCACCGTAAGAAGACATGTTTTTGAAAGGACTTTTATAAGTAAAACCACCTGTAATTTAATAAATGCAAGACAGAAGTTTTATGCTCTACTGTAAAATATTCCAAGCAAACACCAGACAAGCAGTTGGTGAACCTCTCACCAGAAAAGGTGCACACTGCACCTTTAGATGAGAGGAACATATACTTACATGGCTTTGTATTTCAGAACATCTCTTCAAACGTGCTGGAGGAGTCTGCAGTCTCTGATGATGTGGTGTCTCCAGATGAGGAGGGCATTTGTTCTGGAAAATACTTCACAGAAATCGGTTTAGTCGGACTTTTAGAGCAGGCTGCTGCCTCTTTTTCCATGGTAAGTAACCTTTTCATACCTCCTAATCACATTTTGTGGACAAAATTCAAATTGGTCTTACTTTCTATTCTAGGCAGGCATGTACGAGGCGGTAAATGAAGTTTATAAGGTACTCATCCCAATCCACGAAGCTAACCGCGATGCAAAGAAGCTAGCCACTATTCATGGTAAACTGCAGGAAGCATTTGGGAAAATTGTTCATCAGGTAAAGACTCACCTGTTTTATTTTGCTTATCACTGTGAAACCATGCAAACATACACACAAGTAACATAATGCACAAATTCTGTTAAAGTACATTTAAAGGTCCCATATTACACTATTTTCTGATCTATTTTATTATGTAGTTTCCTTATCAGAAATATATCTGGAGTTGTGTTTTGTTTGATTCACACACGTTTAACACACAAATCCTGCATATTAAGGCTGGGCTCTTCTCTAAAACGAAATACAAGTGGTAATAAAGGAAGTGCTCCACTGTGTTTTTAAACTCCATACACCTTTACTAGAATCATTTGGATTATTTTTGCTCTGGAATTGCCAATCTCTACTAAACAAACTGTAAAAATTTTGCTGTTAAATTGAAAACCACTTCATCATAAAGTGGAACAGAATGTTTTGAGCTTTGAAGATGTAGACAGACTAATAATAAAGGATTACTCAACCATGTGAATGAAACAAAACACAGTTCCAGGTAAGTTTTTGCGAAGGTAACAATATTCTAACATGTTTAAAAGCTCACATAAATCAATTTTGCCTAATATAGACCTTTAAGTGATCCAGAATGACAAAGACAAAGCTTGGTGCAGTTTTTGAGATTTCAGCTGTTTATTTTGAGTATAATTTCTTTGTTTTACCCTTTATTATTATACCCCTGGCATGCTTTATTTATATCAGTAAAGTATGGAGCAGGAGAATATGATATTTGGAATCACAGTCAGTAGCCAGTTGTGTGACTTAAATACTGGTGTGTGTAGTTAGCGTTGGGCAGTCTGTACCAGATGAACTGCTGTTAAAGCCACACTACATTATAATGATGGTGTTTCTTCCTGTGGCTTTCTTGGGGCTGGTTCTTCTGGCCTAACACCAGTTGTGGTACATGTGAGTGTGCTTGCTGTGTTCACATGTCCTGTATTTTCTTTGTCACACAGAGTACTGGCTGGGAGGTAGGTGGCTAACTGGTATCTGCTTGGCCCTGCTCATTTTGTTTAATGTTTTTGTATTTGATTTCTCATCTTGTTTGCTAGCTTTGGGCGTTCTTTTGCTCTATTTGCTTTGTTACACACATCAAATTCATTAACATCTGCAGACATGTGCACTGTCTGCCCCCTGCTGGGGACTTTCCCTCTGTCCTCCCTCCTCTGGCTGTGCAGAGGAGAGGTAACTCGATGTAACAGTGTTGTCAGGCTGTGCATGGCAGCCTCAGTGTGACTTAAATGACCAAGATGTCAGTGAATGCATCACCTGCACCCCCTCACTCCTCTGTCACTGTCAGTCCAGCTCTCATCACCGCGTCTCACGTCAAAGCCAGGGCTCGATTTCAACTGCTTCAAACAGAGGGAAAGTAAAGCCTCTTATAGCTCACCGGTGCAGCTCTGGTCAAAGAACCACATTATTTCAGGATGATTTTAATAGTTATTTAATTGTATTTTTGCAGAATTATGTATTTGTTTGTTCCAATGGTTTATTTTATTTGAACACTTAACTCTCAGTAAATCGATCCCTGATTTTTTTCCCCATACATTATTCTTTTTAACAGTATTAACATTATTATTTTATTGCATGGACTGTGAGACACTTTGTTTACCTCTTGACTGCACTGTGGGTGCATGGTGTGTTAAAGGAACTCAGTTTTAACTCTTTACTCTTCTCTTTGCATGGTATTGATTTAGCTTATGTTTTTCAAAATGGTGACGGTTTTCTGTTGTCAGTATTATTTTATATTATGTTTTTTTATTCTTTGGTGGCGCCAAATCCTGATTAAATTTGTTCTGTTTTCTCCTTTTTGATTACCCTGGTTGCTGATCCTAACTTCCCACTTTACTTAATTGTGTCCTTTGGTAAGTTTTGAGGGGCTCTTAAAACTTAAAACAATCTGTAATGCTATTGTCAGATGATGGGTCGTGGGCTTCAGACTTAAAATCATCACACTTTACAAGTCTAATGCACTTTCTCTATTGCATCAAATTTTTGAGGGTTTTAAATCACTTGTCTTAAGTTTCTATTTGGTCTCCTTTAACTATTTATTTTTATATTTTATCTACTATTGTTTTATTTTTCTTATCATATTATTTGAATCGACTGAATTGTATTAGGCATCTGGTGTTATTTGGTGTATGTTGTCAATGTTAGGTTGAGATTTTTGGGGGGAAAATTTTATATCCGTTTAGTGTTGATGGTGCAGTTTACTGATCTTGGATTTCATCTTATATATAAGTAACCAAAATGTACATTGCACTGTAAATATTCATGATATTTTGCAGCTTACAGTAACAAAGCTACTACGCTAATTCAGTGGTAACAACATAATTTTCTGGATATTAATATTTTGACTTTTCTTGCAGGACGGAAAGCGCATGTTTGGTACTTACTTCAGAGTTGGATTTTATGGCTCAAAATTCGGTGACTTGGATGAGCAGGAGTTTGTTTACAAAGAGCCAGCTATCACCAAACTGGCAGAAATCTCACACAGGCTAGAGGTGAACAGGAATTACAGCATTTGAACTATGGAGGTTTGCAGATTTGTCTGTGAATAATTAACACTTTTTTGTATTTTAGGGTTTCTATGGGGAGAGATTTGGAGAAGACCAGGTAGAAGTCATTAAAGACTCCAACCCAGTGGACAAATGTAAACTGGACCCAAATAAGGTGAGTTCAATAGAAGAAACGAAAGAAACATATAAGGGGGTCTTCATGGTTTATAATGGTTATTAAATAGACTGCAGATAAAGTGATAATTATTAAAATGTAGACCATAAAAGCAAAGTCTACCTGATCTATCTTTATTTTATAATCAATCTGAATGTCTCAATATTTTTTTGATCTAAATAAATGTCTTATATTAATTCATTATTTGGCTGCATCCTGTACCATTTGTATAATAAACATCGATGGAGTCATCTTTTGCTTCAGTGGCTATAGATATGTTAAATATCATGGAACATTCTTGACTTCTCCATGGTGACAAGCAGGTTGTTGGCCATCCACTAGTAAAATAGTACTGTGTACCTTTAAATAAATTCAACAATGAGCGTCCCTAAAGCATACATAAGTGTTTACACCGGGAATCATGAGTGACAGAAACAAAAATGCTTTTTGTCCATAGGCCTTCATCCAGATCACGTATGTGGAGCCGTATTTTGACACGTACGAAATGAAGGACCGCATCACGTACTTCGATAAAAACTACAACCTGCGACGCTTCGTGTACTGCACCCCCTTCACTCTGGATGGGCGAGCTCACGGAGACCTGCACGAACAATACAAACGCAAAACCATCCTGACCACCTCCCACGCCTTCCCCTACATCAAGACTCGAATCAACATCATCCACAAAGAGGAGGTGAGTCTAGACCTGTCATAACAAATTTTGATATGCAATATACTGATGAAGAAAATATAGATGATAACATGCATGAATCACTCCAAATACAACTCCAAGATGGGGAACAACTATACTGTGGTTAAAAGCTCTGAAAAGTTGTTTTGGCATAATAAGTCAGATTTAACTAATTCAAGTACAGTCTGTTACCAATCACTTTTGCACAAGTATTTACTATAGACTTGATATTATGTTTAGTATATCATAGTTTTACATTCCATTTTTGTTCCAGATAATCTCCACTCCCATCGAAGTAGCCATTGAGGACATGCAGAAGAAGACGCAGGAGCTGGCCTTTGCCACTCACCAGGACCCTGCTGACGCCAAGATGCTTCAGATGGTCCTGCAGGGATCAGTGGGCACGACAGTCAACCAGGTGAGGATAGGGTTATTTTAGGGAGCTGTACTCAATGAGTTAGCTATTCCCCTTTCCTTACACATTTTAAGCATTATTATTCTAATTATTCACTGTGATGAATTTATAAGTTGTCTCGCAACTTTGAGTCACACCACTGCTAACAACAACTAGTATGTTTGTATTTATTTATTTGTCAGGGACAATGCAACCATGCATAGTTACAAAACAAAGCTTGCTGCTGTTGCGATGATAGGAGGTGTTAATTTTCAAGTCAGTTATTATTAGATGCAGACAGCACTCATTTTGACCCTGAGAGCTTTTATAATACGTCTTTACTTGCACACAACAGAATCAGTGTTTATCACAATCTTACAATTTCACCAAAATAGCTGATCTTCCTGGGGATGAGCTCACGATTACATTTTTGTCACCATATCACACAGCCGTAATCTTAAGTTTAAATATCAGATGATTAACCGTATCTGATCAATTGTACTTGATTATTTGTTTTCATAAATACGAGCATCTGTTTTGATTGTCCGTCAGGGTCCTTTGGAAGTAGCTCAAGTTTTCCTGTCAGAGATTCCCAGTGATCCTAAACTATACAGACACCATAACAAACTACGGCTCTGCTTCAAAGATTTCACTAAGAGGTATGTGGACAAATTCACTGTAAATCAGTGTCAGGAATGCATTCTAACTAAAATATGTCATGTCTATTTTTCTAAACTCAAAGGTGTGAGGATGCTCTGCGCAAGAACAAGAGCCTGATTGGGCCAGATCAGAAAGAGTACCAGAGGGAACTGGAGCGGAACTACCATCGCCTGAAGGAGGCGCTGCAGCCTCTCATCAACAGGAAGATCCCACAGCTTTACAAACCTGTCTTGCAGGTCAACGCACACAGGTGAGACGCAACGCCACACCACTTCACAGCTCTCACGCTCGTGGTAATTCAAGTAAAATAAGATGGAGGTTTTACGGTTGTGTTTTAGCTTTATTTTTAACTCTAAAGTGGAACTAAACACTTAATCTACTAAACTGTATACATCATGTTTTAACAGCATTGTTTACTGTTGCTAGTTCTTTTTCCAATTTTAATGTAAACTTGGTTAGACCTGTTTGACCAATCACACTGTTCCTTTTACCTCCTGGCACCACCCCTTCTCATCCCTCTATAGTTTCTATAGTCCTCAAGTACAGGGTTAGTCCTACTTAATGGTACATGTACACAATTACTTGTTTGGGCTTGGTTTGAGTGGTTTAGTTTTGATGTAGACTTGGTTTTGTCCTCTTCAATCCTGATTTATCCCTGGTCTAGTCCAGGTTTACTTCCAGGTTCAGTCCCAGTTTAAACCTAATTTTGGTTTTATGTGTAAGTGTGAACGCATCCTTAATGAGTTCAAATTTAACTTTGATTTCATTTAAGTTGTAGGAATTAAATGCTTTTATTTTACCTTTGTAATGACCCAGCAGCAAACGGACAACTTGATCAGGTATTTGGATATTGTGATGGATTGCCTCTGTATGGTCTGTCTGGCTTTGAGAGTTCGTTCAGCTGAAATTTATCAGGCCACAGACACCAAACGTTGCATGTTATTGTTTAACATGGAACAGTCATTCTCTCATCAAATATTGCATGTGCACCAAAGTGTACCAAAGAGCATCAGAACCTAGACACTATGTCTCAACATAACCCCCTGCTCTGCATTTTCCCAATGCCCAAAAGGTAAAGTGAGTCCTTCACTGTCCTGGATTTAATGAAGAAACTTTGTCTGTGTTTGTCCAAAGTGGTGAAGTCATGCGCTCGTCACGACCTTCATGCATCTGCAGGCTGCATGAGAATGTGCAATGTCCAACTAAGATATAATATAGACCTAGATATATATAGGTTACCAGCACAAAGCATCGGGAGTGAATGAATAAAGCACACATTTGTAAATCGTCTATAGACAGTAAGACATATATATAGATGAATGAACAAGCCAATTTTCAGATGATAATCATTCTATAATAGTATTTAATACAGATGAGAGGCAACCCAGTTCAAAAGCTGATTTCTGTTGGGAGTTCATAGGTCTAGTCAATAATAGAAATGAATGATCAGGCTGAACATTTGTGCATTCACCTTTTGGATATTTCATCACAAAGTACAGTGTTATCAATAGAAAAATCTGTCTCTTGCCCCCATCTATGACATTACATTAAATAATCTGAAAACCACCAATTAAGCTGGAGCAATCCTTCTCTCCCTTTACTTAATTATTAATATTTGTTTCTTTTTTTTTTGCAGAGATTCCTTCAGCCGATTGAGTCTTCGTAAACTCGACATCTGAGGAGGAAGAGAGGGTATATGAGACACTTTGCAATATTAATTTATTTGAGTGTAAATATGTTTTTAAGTTGGTCAGTGTTCTGAGAGAAAGTCTATTGTGTTGGAGCTTGGTACGTCATTCCAGTGTCTTGATTTGTTTACACAGACTGTTACACAATCAGAAGCTTGAACAAATGGATCTCACATGTTAAAAAAAAAGTTATCTTGACTTTTCACTTAAAGGTGCACTGTATAATTGGGGGTGTTACTGCTTTACCTGTAAGTAATGTTCCATAGTAAGACATTCATCTTATTTACTTCCACGAAGAATAGCAGCTCACAGTAAGAATGTTTTTAATGTGTGTTTTTTTTTAGCAATAATAACATCTGAATCCGAATAAATACAAAATAAATCACTTTAATGCCATACTGTGGGACATTCCAGCCAAAGAAATAGTATCTCCACAGGGACCAACAATGGACCCACAAGCTGAAAAGTTACATTTCTCTTAAAGGTACTTTGTAAGTGAAGATGTTATTGCTTTACTTGGAATGTTCCATTCTAAGGCATTAAACTTATTTCCTTCCGTGGAGACAAGCAGCAGACGCCAACAGATCAGCTTACAGAGCAGATCAGTTGAGAGGCGAATCCGCTCACAGTAAGAATACATGTTTTCCCATGTGTTTTTGAGCAATAAATACATCTAAAACTGAGTAAATGCTAAATAAATCAGTGTAATGCCATATTGTAGGACATCGAGGGCAAAGCAATAACATCTCTATGGGAACCTACTGATAGTTAAACCCCCAAGCTGAAAAGTTACATTTCACTTCAAGGTGATGATGTTATTGCTTTACCTGTAATGTTCCATAGTAAAGCATTAAAATTATGTACTTCCATAGAGACAAGCAGGTGATGCCAGCAGACCAGTTTATAATATCAGGTCTGCTGAGAGGCGACCCCATTCAGTGTAAATAAATATACATGTTTTCATTTTGTTTTGTAACAATAAAGGCACCTGCAATGTAATAAAGATGAGATACTGTAGATAACTTTAATACTATACCATGAAACATTACAGGTAAAGCATCAGCAACATCTCCAAGGAGACTGATTGCAGACTCCAAAGCAGAAAGTTACATAGTGCGCCTTTAAACCTTTTTTCTGTTTTCTCTGATTGTTGCTAAGAGACGTTCATTTCACTTCAACAACTGCTGCCTTGAAGAGCACCTGAATGCATAACAAGAATGCACAATTACTGCTTTATCAGTTCATAAAAGTGCCAAATCTGTAATTCTCGCCAAATGTTTCCTCAAGAGGAACTATTTTAAAGAAATCAAGGTGTCTTCTTAAGTTACCAGTGTACCATGTGTCAAAACTTATTTCTTGTGTGCACTTTTTATGGTGTAGCAATGCATTTTTAGACTTGAAAGATTATGTAAACAAAGGTGAAGAAAAAACATGCAAAAAGGTATTCTATTATTTATCATGATGCATCAGTGTTTTGTTTGGTACTTGCAACCTGTATAATTTTTAGTTTTGTTTTATTTTACATATTTTACTAAATAAATATTTTAATGTTGGACCATTGTTGTCTGTTTTATGAAGCCTATTTCATATTTACCAAAATATTATCAGCTGTAGTATTGTATGTATTAGTAGTAGTTCTGATGAGGTTTTGATTCTTATGCAAGGATATAGATTCACATTTTAATACATATTGAAAGACATTTTTTATATTTTAGTTATATCTGAACGTTTCAAGTTTTAGCTGAGGTGGAACAAAAATAATAATATCCTCCATAATGCAAAGCTAACATTATTATAGGATAGTATCGGAGCTGGCTGTTAAACTCAGTTAACAGGAGTCCTAATAAGTAAGGATGGTCGATATATCGGTCATAGTAGGGCAGCTCGATTATGGAAAAAATAATTACCACGATTGTTTTGATCAATATTGAAATCACGATTATTCAAAAGATAGTAATACAATGCATAAAACAACAACAACAACAAAACACTTTTGTGTGTCCTCAGTCCTCCTCCGGCTGGAGAGGTGACGCTGCAAAACTGTTGTCTTTGTCACAGTCCTTAATGAAGGTCAGCAAGGATTCACTCTGTGTTTTAGAGCAGAGTTTACTCACTGTTTTTATCGTATGAGTGACATCAGCGCACCTGACAGGAAGAAAGTTGTGTGTGTACATACATGAGCAACCGTGCTGTGAATTGGCCCACCTCCTCCAACTGGGCCAAAGTCCCAAAAATGCTGCGCCTGGGCACAGACTGATTGTGCTCCCACTGGACAAATGTACCTCGCTTTAGGGGTGAGCCGTACTTGGGCACAATTCTTAAGTCCTAGTGTGACTGCACCCTAAATCGTTTCAACCCGACTATATGAGTTTAGATATCATTTGACACCCAAATCCAAATCATGATCAAAATTCTATAAATTTCACAGCCTTAGGTCCCAGTATCAATGCTGACTCATGTACTTTTTGCACTACCCAATTCTGTGTGTCCTTTTTGATCAGACTAATCAAAATGGAAGTAGAAGACCATTATGGCTTTATGTTTACACTTTTTAAAAAGTATAATATTCCATATAAATACATATTATTTTACAAAAGTGAAAAGTTATTTATTTCAACTTCAAAGTTATGGGCCTTGCTATGTATTTAAAAAGCTACATATCGCTATTGCTGAGTGTTGGTTATTGGAAACAGCAGCAGGCCAAATTTCAGATGTCTGTATTAACACAAAATCCATATGAACACAAAATCCATATGAACCCATCCCTCATAATAAATAAACTAAACTAATAGTACAGAAGGATTTTTATGCATTTTAATACAATACAAAGCTCATTGGTATCAGCAGAAGAACAAGATTTTACCACATTATTTACTTTGTAAGACTGGTATGAGCCTTTACAATCAAACAAGCACACATTTAACATCACTGAGGTAAAGAGTTTTATTGCTTCTACAGCTGCGACATCAGGTTTGAATAAATTCATTGTTACATAGCTGGTATTGTACAGGGTAAATAAGCTTAATGAACAGAAGATTTGCTTTATAAATATGACAAATAAAACCATACCCGTCATAATTAAAACAGATCCTGAGAGGTGAGAAAATGCATTTAATTAACAGAGGTAATATATATAGCTAGACTAGCACACTTTTAAAACACACATGGAGACAATACTGGAGACTGGCTGAATAACATTGGTCATATATTTAACAGAAATTAGTATGAGATTCTTAGTTACACAGTAGTCTAAAAGAAACTCAGTATAGAACATCTTTAAGGCACTTTTATTTACATTAGTAAGTGTGCACTAAATGTTAAAATGACAGGTTTATAAGCAAGATAAACTGAACTAATCACATTTAGAAAAATATATTTGTTTAAACAAGGTCCAAGGACAATGGTACATGTACTAAGCCTAGATACTGTGCCTGTTATACTATTTTTACACTGCTGCATGAAATTGGAAAAGGAAAATTAGTTTGCTTGTAATTATTGTTAAATATTTTCTTCTCTATTTAAAGGTGTGCTTTGTAACTTTTCTGGGTGAGAGTCTGCTACCTGCTTGTCTCCAATAATCACAATAGAGACAAGTTAATGGTAAGATCTGTGGAGAAATAAGCCTGTACATGGTAAGAATGAATGTTTTCAGTGTATTTTTGAGCTACAGAACACATGTAACTGAACAAATGCAAAAGAGATATGTTAAATGCAACACTGTGGAACATTCCAGGCAAAGAAATAAATATAAAAAATAATGGATCCATGGAGACAAGCAAGTAACGGACCCTCAACCTAAGAAGTTACAGTCCACCTTTAATATATTACCTCAAAAACCTTGTGTCAAATGCTTGAGAATGGTATGTCAAGTTACATTCATTGTTAGAATTTGTGTAGAAAAAGTTAGTTACTGTCTTTGCTACTGGGAAATCTCTTGAAATGTGTCTTAAAATAAGGAATGTTTGAATAAAGAGGGATACAGCTGTCTGATATTATTTGGAATTCATGGCTGATTTTGGTTTGTTAAGCATTTATAATGACATAGAGGTACTTCTGTCTGAAATTTAAATGATATTTGAAAATTACCTTAATTCGAATAGAAAAGGAGAATTCACTTTATTCTCTGCAGCACGAGAAAAAAATCATTTGCTCTGTGAGATAGAGATTAGAAAAAAAACTGGTCAATAGAGGGTGGCAACAAAAATTCTAATTGTACTAAATGGAATGAATGTTCAAAAGTGCTTTTCAAATTTGCAAAAAACGGGCTAAAAAAAACAAAAAAACAACAACACACACACACGAAAGAACCCAGGAGACAGAATATAACAATATAACTGACAGCAAAGCCAGTGCATATAAAGTTACATTAAGAATACAGCAAATGTCTTATTTAAAGGCCCTGGTTTACAGACTATCAAAAAGACTAGAATAACAGACTTGAACATCTTTGAAAGCTTTGACATTTCAGTCCCTGGATACAAGTCGAGAGAGATTTCAATACCACTTTATAATAACTGCGACTCAAATGTCTGCCTTATTTGCATGAACACGTATTTAAAAGGTGCATTGCGTAACTTTTCTGGTGGAGGGTCCGTCAAACGCTTTTCTCCGTGGAGCTGTTATTGGAGATTTATCTGGAATGTTGCACGGTATGGTGTTAAACCTTTCTATCTCCATGGAGACCAAACCTGACCAAGCTCACAGTCAGAATGCCTGATTTTCTAGGTATTTTTGAAGCATTTTTAATGTCACACTGTGGAACATTTCAGGCGGAGCAATGACATATGCATAGAAACAAGCAAGTGAGGGATCCTCGACCAAAAAGTGACATAGTCCATAATGAAATAAAGGTGCACTAATAGTTTATAGTAGGGCTGTTGTCCTTTAGACGATTAATTTCACGTCTTACCAATCTATAGATTTAAATGGGTCTATTATTTAAACTCAAGATTGACAACTTTATAAAGTTGTTTTTACATTAATTCTTGCAGGTGTAGTTTTGAGTGCAATCCGGTTTCAGATCCACAGAGATACACAATAGTTTTGAAATCCTTTGCCACGCCCCCTTCTTAATCAGCTAATGAAATAAAATTGCAGCCCTAGTTTGTTAAGAATGATCCAGGCTAAGAAACCATTTAATTTATACCCTAAGTATTTACCAAGCCTGAATCACTCTTAAACGATTTCTCATTATGACTCAACTCTTTGTTCACCTTAATTAGTCTTAATAAAGCATGTAGGTAAGAAATAAAGTGTTATCGAAACTCTGCGCTGACAGCTTATGGCTTCCACTGTAATGTTCACAATATTGGCACTGTTGTTTTATTAAAAATTTGTTACCACGTCACCCTGGCAACAGTTACTATGCCTACTATGTCCGTTTTTTCACTGTTTGCGCGTCCGTCTATAGAACAGCAGGTATGGCGTGGACGAGGAGGCGGTTTCGGGGGAGCAGGCTCTTAAAAAGTCATCTTCGTCGAACATTCTCACCTCCGAATCGTCAAAAAGCATCCATTTCCCCTCGTAATCCAAAAGCTTGCTCAGGGCCTTGCTTTCCGAGGCTTTCTCATCGGACGCCGTCTTTTCTGTAGCGTCTTGTGAATCCTGTACTTTCTTAAGTCCTGTTTCGACGTTCTGCCCCGCACTGCCCAAAGTCTTCCTCCTCTTCGTCCCCTCCGATGTGTTTTTATTATTATCTTGTTTAAGTTCACACGCAGACAAACTCCTCTGCCCACCCAAGAGCCCCACGCCTTCAGAAGTCTTTTTACTCCTGGTTTTCCCTATAGCGCCTCCTGTCTGCGCTCTGGAGAATGACACCTCTCCGTCGTCGTAATCCAGGGCTTCCTCTTTCACCTTTTTCTCCGTTTTTTCTTCTTTCTCCGCCTCCTCTGGCCGCTCTTCGTCCTTGTCTTGCGGGGACGAGAGTTTCATGTCTCTCAGGTCGGACATGCGCACGAAGGCGGTGTAGTGCCCGCTGCTGATGGTGACGCCGCTGTGCATGACCACGGCGAACAGCTCGTAGTTCTGGCCATTCGCCGAGCGTCGTGTGCACCACTCGTCCAGACACAGGTTTAAGGGGGTCTGCAGAGGAGTGTTGACTTTGGAGAGGCCGGCGTACAAGTCCAGACTGAAAAAATATGAAGAAAAAACATAGCTAAGTTCTGATCTTACAGATGTGTTACAGATTTGCTTGTATTATGCGTTTTATTCAACTATTGATTAATAAACAAAAGCTACCACAATAAATTTCATTTTCACTATACTACATCCAATAATCAAAAATCGATCAAGTCCGTGACGTTGATGCAATTGAAACTGTAACCCCACTGTGAAGTGATTTTGCTAGACTGTCATTAGCCACTTATTATTTGATCAAAAGCACTATTAAAGGTGCACTGGGTAACTTTTCTGAATGCCATTGCTCTCTGTGGAATGTCCCACAGTATGATATTTAACAGCTCAACAATACCTAGAAAAACAGGCTTTCTGACTGGGAGCAGGGTCACCTCTCCACAGATGACCTCTAACTCGGTCTAGTTTGGTCTCCACGAAGATAAAAAGGTTTAATACAATGCTGTGAAACATTCCAGACAAAGCAATGACATCTGCATGGAGAAAAGCTTTTGCTGGACCCTCCACCAGAAAAAATACATTTAAAGCAACACAACCCAATGAAGACGATCTACAGAATTTTTGAGTTTTCTGCAAATAGATATCAAAGACAGAACAGAAATAATTGCTAATCCAAAAACAAATTTAGCCTTTTTTAAATGATCATCTTTAATTATTTCACTTTTTGAAGACAATACATGCTGATGACTTACTCGAGTGTGTTTGCAGAGAAGCGTTTGAGGTGAATGGTGACGATCTCTGGGGTTTTGTCAAACAGCAAACTCCTCTCGGCCTCAGTGTAGTGATGGCACGTCTCGCAGAAATACTTGTCCTCTCCAAAGATGTGCTCCACCGACGCAAACTGACCAATCGCCCAGTTCAGGGTCTTCAGTTCTGGTTTGGGGTCTGGAGAGACTGCAAGTAACAGCATAGAGTAAATAAAAGGTCTTACACACAGAAATAGCATCTTATGAATAGTAACAAACCAGTGTGATTGAATAAACTAATTATTAAACCAATATTAAACAAAATGACTATATTCAAACAATATTATGGCAATCAAAAATATGCTAAAACATGGCGTATTAGTTTACACTGCAAACTTAAGTTATTTATTTAAGACTAGAATCTCAATATATACAATTGTTTGAAAGAGTACTCTGTAGTTTCTTTTCTTTAACGCGTATCAGTTTCAACTTGTATTTTATTATTATTAAGACTCAAATTCAAATTTTGCTTTCTCCAACAACTCTAAAATTATAAATTTTTGACATCTCCCGCAGCTAGTAATATTTTTATTTGCTAGCTAAATAAATACTAAACAAATATACAGATTATTACAGTATTAAACCTAGCATATGAATAAAAGTTAAGCCAGAGCATGTCCTTACTTTCCGACAGGTCCTCTGGGCTGGGGGGCTGCTCGTCCAGCACAGGAACACTGATGTCCTGGAAGTCCTCTCTGCGCTCAGTGAAGCTCTCACACTCCAGACAACGGGTCCTCAAAACCAGCTGCCCCTGGAACAGGTGCTCCATCAAGTCCAACACGGCTGAACAAAGAAAGGAAAACAGTGAAGACATATTTACATTTTAAACTGGTCTGAAACATGTACTGCTGCCTTGCATAAGCAGAAAGTTTAATTTGTTTTTCCATTTCTGAGCAACCATCATAAACTCTGTCTTCTGTTTGGGTTTATAACTGTATTGTGCCAGATTTGTGCTACATTTTGGACATTGTTGTATCTAAAAATAAGACTTTACAAAACAAGTAGAACAATAATTGAATATTACTTACTGCTTCTTACATTACCAAAAACAAATCAAGTAAATGGAAGCAATGCCAACATGTTTACCAAATACAATCAAAACAGGACGATTATTTTTTATAGTCAATTAATCATTGCAGCCCTACATACCATCTGTCTTTGTTGAGTCCTCTTCAGCTTTTGTGTCCAGTGTGGCCTCTTTACTCTCCTCCACACTCTCCTCCGTCTTCTCCTCTGTCTCCTCTTTTCCTTGGGTTTTAGCTGTAATGGAACTGATCCGTCCAACACTGCGGAACTTTGAAAATATACTAGGCTGTTTCCTGGAGGGTCTGAGCCAGCCTAACTTAGCTCTCTTCTTCCTTTTCCCATCTGTCTCTTTTGTAGTTTTTTCAACCTCATTTTCATCCTCTAGGCTCATCCCTTCAGTATTCTTTTTCTCCAGCTCTCCATCCTTGCCCTGAGCAGACTCTATTGGAGAATCATTTGAAGATTTTCTCTTAGACCGAGTTTGTACAGTACTCCCACTCTCCTCCTTCTCCCCATCTGAAGATTTTGACTGGACAGATTTTGGTTTCTTCTTGGCATTCCCAGCTTCTGTATCACTTTTTCGTTTTCCGTTGACTTGTCCATCCTCTTCTGTGGAGGTCTTGGAATTTTCCTGTTTAACCTCAGGCACAGTGTTTTTCTCCTTCTCCAACTCCTGCTCCTTTTTTATGGTGTCACAGGCCTCGTGCAGATATCCCAAGATGCACTGCAGCACCTCCTGAGCGTCATGTTGGAGGTAGCCTTCATACATGGGGTTGAGCTGCCTGTAGGACATAAAATATTATATTTTACTTCAAGTGAGAATACTATAGGGAAGGGGCGCTTAAACTTTTAACTTTTTAGTACCACCCAATTCTATAACAAAAATATTCCAAGTTTAAGGATGGTTCACACATGGTCCTGATTTGAGGACAGTTTAGTCATGATGTAGACTTGGTTGGTCTTGTTATAATCCTAATTTAGGCCCTGTCCATATTTATTTCTGGGTTTAGATTCGTCAGAGTTTTAATGTGGCATAGTGGTTCTAAACAAAGAGCTTGTACTAGTAGTCCTATTTTAAACCTGGCTAAACCCTCATTTGAAACTGCTCTAATCCTGCTACAGACTGGTTTAAATCAGGTGGTACATGGAAATAAAACAAATATTTTCTTGAAGAGACTTTGGTGTGAAATCTTTGAGAACCACTAGTATAACTGTATAAAGTTATGCTGACCTGAGTGTATTGAGTATTTTCCGAGGAGGCGTGGCCATGTCTCCCTCTGTGAAGCCATCGGGGTTGAGGAGAAAACTGGACTGTAGCTCCTCCACTGAAGTGATGAGGCTATTAAAGCTACAGAGGAGATCTATGTGGGGCGGAACGGTCTCCTCTTCTGTCTGTGAAAAGAAGATAAAAGACAAATGTTAAAAAACTAAAAATAATAAACCAGACTTTATATAACACATGATAAAGTACACCAACCTCTTCAGGTTTCTCGCCTTCATCTTTTGTTTTTTCTTTCTTCTTGGAGAGGCTGTGCAGTTTCTTGATGCCTTCTCTAAGCCCTGGACAGTGGTACAGCACCTACAGTATAAATGATAAAACAGAGATTATTTTTTCAAAATCAAAATGAACATGAAACAGAGAAGTCAAATTCTAATAATTGCTTAAAAAATAAAATATAAAATTGAATATATAAGAGATTATAACTTCAAAGAGGTAAATTTCAGTCTTCCAATATTAGTTCTTATTAAAAGACAACAATGGTCTGTTAAAAAAAAAAAAAAGTTTTATTTTCTAGTCAGAAATCAATCTAAAATTTACAAATTAAATTATACGAAGAAAAAAAACAACGATGCAGATACTTGTATATAGCACTGAATGATAAGTATGCAAACTTTCAAGGTAACAACATTGTAAAAGTTCAAAACATTGTTCTTAGTTGTGGTAAATTAAGCAAATGATCAAAGCTGTACTTGGCTATTTTCAGTTTAGCAACACTGCTGGCAGCTGTTTTACCTCATCACATTTACCTAAACAAGCAAACAAACATGATGTGGGTACTGCACCCTGCACCCTCATGTACTTTACGAAAATGTGGAGTAGTTAATTTAAGTGCAGTGTGGGTACTGAAACAGGGTCACGGCTCTACACAACACTTCATACTATACACACTATCAAATTTCAGAGCCCTAAAGGGGAAATATAAGCCTCTCTGTAACAAATACCATTAAAAACGTGAAAAAAAGGAAGTGGGTTTAAAACAGGTGCAGTGTTCAGAATACGCTTAACTTCCAGCACTATAAACCATAAAGGCAATCTGATAACATCTAACACAACAATACTTAAAAAAAAAACAGCATGCATCAGCTTGTAGCAGCTACAATCTTAAATCAGGATAGTGCTGCCTGAAAATACAGCTGCCACTCAAATGTGCACAAACCTCAAACTGACAGTGTTACCTGCAACACGCTGTTCAAATAACAGGTGTTTCCTAAGTTGTTGAAGCCAATGAACGGCACCAAGCTTTCCTTCTTCTCCAGAGACAAAAGGAAGCTGGGAGATGGCGGGCAGGGGCCAGGGACGACTTGGTCACAGCTGCTGAAAAGAATGAAAATTGACAATATTATATATATATATATATATATATATATATATCTACAATCCTGGTATATAGAAATAGATTATAGAAGAGAGAGGAGGCTATGTCATACTGTAGAGTAGTCTGCTATTTAAAAAACATATCAACAAAGAAAAATGAAACTTGCAATGTCATCTTCCAAACAGAAAGTCAAATTTCAGTAACTTTCCAAACTAGTAAAGTAAACTTTACAGTCTCTTTGTGATATTTTAACCTACACCAAGACAGGCACATTAATGAAATTTCAAACTAAAATTTGACACAAAGGGAAACAATCAAGTTTTGATACCAATATTATTTTCTAAGTAAATAATAATGTAATTTCTTTCATTAATACTACACTGTGGTCTTCGCTAACTTACTTCCAATACAGATAAAAAGACAACAAAAATCTGAAAAAGTGAAATGTTGTCCCTTTTGTGACTTTTAGTATCATTTTAAATTATAATTTAACTCTGGGTTTCAGTACTTTTGGCAACCATAGCATCTTATAATTCTTATGACTGATAGCAATAACAGTGTCTGAATATTGTCATCAGTATAATCCACATACATATGATTTTGTCCTTAACTGAATTGTCCTCGATAAACACAGCCAGCGTACTGCTACATTGTAATAACAGAACATAAAGTATTGTTTACTGTTATGAATGACCCACACAGCCGGGCTTACCTCGGCTCCTGCTCCACTGGTTCTGCCGTTTTGGGCTCATCGGCCACGGGCTCAGAAAAATCCAATGCCCGCTTGGTTTCCTTCTTATGGAAAAACTTCAGGGACAGTTTATTCTTTTTTATGGGGCTCCCCAGCGTCGCAACAACCGTGTCTCCCTGAAGGACTGGCATCTTTTCTGAACTTTGTGAAGACTGGGTCAGTTTACATGGAAGCAACAGCGAACCTCACTGTTCAAAAGTGAAAATACAACGTAAATAGATTAGGCGCCATCAGAGTTTGGAAGGAAACCAAAAGTGCGCATGTAAAGTCAAACAGATCTACTATACACAAGTGATTTCATCCACAAGAATTTATGTTTAAAGCGCTTTTCTGTCTAACCTGCGAGATAGTGAGACTATTGTGCTATTATATAACAGATTAGCAGGCTAACGCTAACTTTCTGTTGTCATTGTCCGCTCAGTGATTCTATCAAACTGCTCCGTATTGGCGACTACTAGCAAAATAAAAGAACTGATCGCTTCCCTGTGTGTTAAGTAATACTCGCAAAGCAGGTCTAATTCAGAAAAATAGCACATTTTGCACCCAACCCAGTAACTAAAGTGGGTCAAAACGGTGTGGTGTGGTGAAGGAGTGGGAGGAGAGGCAACACGCTGCTCCAACACAGAACATCCAGAAACCTCTACGACCAACTACAGCTACAAAAAAAGAGGTTTAACAGCCAAATGCTTACCACTGATTGTCATCTCTACTTGCAGTTCAGTAGATCTTACACACTATCCCACATTGTTGCCAAGTCAAGTTTATTTTTGATGAAATTTCAGAGCTGCCGCAGAAGTTGGCGCTTTTTCCTTCTGCAAAGACCCAATGCCCACAACATTGCCGAAGACACGCCGGGCACGTAGACACATTATTCGACAGAAATGCGTAGATAATAGACGTATCTGTAGATACACACGTTGTAATTGGTCACAAAAATGTAAAACGAGCTAATAAATTGTATAAAAATAATAATTCGAAAATAAGCCACGGAATTTTGCAGGCACAACAACAGGCAACTACGGGGTCCTTTACGGAAACCATTTTTGTAGTTTTTGGCAACGAAGTAACTTGCGCTTCAAGGTGTGTTTTACGACGAAAATAAACGCTAACTTTGTGGTAAACACGCATTTGTTTGTTTAAGTTTTGTATTGTAGAGACGTAAGTATTATGCTCTCTGACGTTTTTACTCAGTCAAAATTATTGGCGGTATCTTGTATCTTGGCGTGTTTTATGACGAAATTAAACGGTAATTTGTGGCAAAAACGCATTTATAAATTTCAGGTTTGTATTGTAGAGGTAGATATCATGCACTCTGACCATACCTGCCATTTTTATTAAACCAGATATAGCATTTTAACAGTCATTACACAATTTATGTTAAGATTTTTAATTCTTACAATCACTACTTAAATATATATATTCATAAATCTGCAAATGCACAGAATTTAACTTTTGTTTTTTGCTCTTGAGCCCCAGAATGTCCAAAGTTGGATTCTCGTCATGTGCAAAGGCTGCTACCTGCGTATTTTCTCCAGAGGGGGGCGACATTATCCACGAAAAGGAGGCCGAAAGTGTTGAGCATCCTTCCCTCCTTCCCTACAGCATCTTCCATCTGACAGTGCACACTACCCCGCCACGGTTTCACGGTAAGATACTATTTACGTTTTCTCCCTGTTAACGTATTTGCAGTGCTTGCGACTTCTTTTTGCTTTAACATCAATGCACAGTCAAATGCGTTGCTGCTTTTCACGTTAATGAAGTGTTTCGACTGGCGTGTGTTTTTACGCGGAGGGGAGGATCGCAGTTGCTGGATGGACGCAGCGTAAAGATACGAAATGACAGGTGTGTCGTCTCTCCTTTGCACATAATCCTGAATGAGTATTTGCCAAAAGGATGCAAGGTTGTGTTTGCAGGCTGAGACGCTATACGCATGCCATTGCAGAGCTTGGGTGCTTGCTTGGTCAGCAGGGAAAGATGCATCGTTGGGCACGGAGCTTTTAGCCTTCAATCTACTGTCAGGATTTCTGGGGTTTTATCAAGTGGCGTAGCAGTAATGAGTCTGATGGGAAATGCAATATGATAGTTTGGGTATAGAGGCTTGTCTTGGTTGGTAATTACTTTCTTCCACATCTTACTGTTCTCTGCACAGTCTCCAGGTTTGCGCTGGTTTTAGGAGGATGCTTTTTAGGTCACTGAATACTACAGCAGCACGCCACTGCTCCAGCGGGCTCATAGCGTGTTAAATACAAACTAGATTTGACTCTAAATGTGGTCCCAGCAGGTGATTCATTCAGATTTAACACAGAGGCTCGTGTAGGTGGTACTTTCCCTTATATTTAAAAGCCTGACTTTATTTTAAATGGAATGAATCTGCTTTTTCAACTCATGTTAACCCTTTTCTCATGGGACAAAGTTTTTTATAGAACATGCAGTGCTTTCTATTACCGAAGTCTTTGGTTAAGAGAAATTTAAATTTGAAGTTGAAGTGTAACTTTTCTGGTAGATGGTCCACCATATCCTTGTAATGTTTCCATGGAAATGTTATTGCTTTGCCTGAAAAGTTCCACAGCATGGCATTTTTTGGCTTTTATTTGTAGTTTATTTTTTCCTCAAAAACCCCTTGAAAAACCTACGTTCGTACTGTTCGTACCTCTCCACAGATTTGACAACTGTTTGTCTCAATGGAGATGCATACATATATACATACATTTGATGCTATACTGTACAGCATTCCAGGCAACGATATCCCACCTTTAATATAGGCTTTATAAACTAGCCATACCAATTCACATGGTTTCTCAATTTATTTTCAGACACAGATTCTCACTTAGATCTCCACGATACCACCTACAGGCAGGTCCCACAAGAATTTAACCCTTAACCTGTACTAGTAATGAGCACAACTCTCTATGCACTGAGCAGGGGAATTATTGGCCCTTATCAAGGCGTGCTTTGTCCCCAGAGACTGCACGGTCTCAGGGCAGAGCTGGAGGAGGTGGGTGGTGTGGCAGCTGAAAGCCTTGGCCCATGAGCAAGACCACCCCCCTCAGCTTGCCTCTCTGTCTCCCCAAAAAGAGGGACACTACAGGGGTAAAATGAAGGCATGTTGAGCGACAGGGAATGGTGCACTTCAAGAATGAGAAGTATGTCCTGAAGTCTACTACAGTTTACTGCACAACAACAAGCTCCTTTATACCCCAGTCATGCAATACTTTTAATTAAAGTCAGCCGAGATTATGATTATACCTGATTCATCCTCATGTTATGGCAGTATTACAAAACTTGACAAGACATAGGGTAGTTAATTAGATTAGATTTGATTTTTTTGCTTGTAAGTTGGTTGAGTTTGACTTAGATCATGGCGGGTAGAGATGTTGCCGGTGCCTTAAAGGGGAGATGGTTTGCTTAAAGGTGCACTGTGTAACTTTTTTTGGTGGAGGGTCTTTTACCTCCTTGTCTCCATGGAGATGTTGTTGCTTTGTCCAGACTGTTCTACAGTATTGCATTAAATGTTTCTACCTCCATGGAGCCAAAAAAAGCGACACCAGCGAGCTGAGTTACACGTCGGATTTGTGGAGAGGTGACCCTGCCCAAGCTATAAAACCATCTGTAATTGAATAAATGCAAGATAGATACGTTTAATGCTACTGTGGAACATTTCAGGCAAAGCAATGGAAAAAAAATCTGATGACAAATGTTCCACCAGAAAAGTTACACAATACGCCTTTAAGGAGTGAAGAAGGGAAGTATTTAGAGGTCGAGGTTTTTGCTTCTGCTGCTGTGATGGAGATACATTAGTTATTCTTTGAACATTACAATATGTTATAAGTTAGGTATGAATTCCTACTATACATTATCCTAGTTTTTATGGTCTTCCAGCCACCAGGTACATTAACACTGTCAAGACTTGTTGTTTCATCTCTCTCACTAGATTATATTAGGATTATATTACCTTTCTGTTTTCCCCAAATCTGAATTGATCCACAGTTTAGTATGGCAGATTATGGAGAGTTTAGTTTGAGCCGTAAACCACACAAACAGAGCCGCTGCTGTGAGGCTGGATTACACATTGATACCCTTTATTTTGTTTATCCTTTTTGAAACCTTGGCAGCAGAGCAGACCTTTCATATATTTTACTACACCTGGACTCTTTTGGCTTGTGTTCACACTTACATTGGAGTGACTTCTACTTAGGTGTGTTACAATGATTACTATATCGATTTAACATTAAGTATATGAAAGCTGGAACAATACTTTTTTTGGGTATTGCATTTTGCTTTAACTCTGGCATGTATTTTGAAGTATGTTACTAAACTCTGTTTTCAACAAATTTAACATATTCTAATCATAAAATTGTAACATCCTAATTTCCTTCCATATCAATCAAGGGTCTGTCTAATGCATTTTGATGGAGGTTATTCTAGTTGCCCAGAAATTACCAGATGTCAGTGCTGAAAAACTGAAGAAGACAGTTTGGATGTATCTCCATAACTACAATGTCAATTTAGTTGTGCATTTAACAGTGTTGTACAGCTAAGCTCTTATTATAACTATTTTGAAAAGACAATACTTCTGGCTATACTATGCACAAATGTGTTCTGTTAAGAGCATCTTCTCCAATATTTATATCAACCTAACCTTACAGAGATAGGGCCGTGGCCCCTGCCTTCTCCTCTCCCCTTCTCTCTCTCCCTCTTTACATACTTGAAACCATGTGAGTGATTCCTATTCGACGCAGGCTCCGGAGGTGGGTGTATCCAGGCAGCCGCTGTGATGTGAGGGAGCCTTCCTACTCAGTCTGCTCCGTGCTGCTCCGCTCTTCTCTCTGAACCACGGGACGCCTGGCCTGTAGCATACTCCCCTTTCACTCACCACGTCGTCTCATCCGCCGCCAGGATATATTTACACAGCCCACGCAGGTAGACACACAGATCCGCTAGCTGACTCAAACTAGCTCTTTTTTGGCTTAGTGACAACCATATTGGGAAAAGTTTGGATGTACGGGTTTGTTTATGTGTTGTTATTAAAGAGGAGGTTCTTTCAGTTTGACAGTAGCAGAGGTAAGGCAAGGGACGTGGAGTTTTGTACTTTCTTGCTTTGTTAAAAATAGTAATAAATTGTGGTAGAAGTTGTGCATACTTTCTTGGTACTCTAGAGGTCAATATTTTTTTTATTGGTAATTGAAAGTGAAACATCATTCGTACTATCTTATTAAAGGTGCACTGTGCAGCTTTTCTGGTCTCGATGGGGATGTGATTGTTTTGCCTGAAATGTTCTACAGTACAGAATTAAACTTGTCTATTTTACATTTATTCCATTACAGGCATTTTTATTGCTTAAATATAATATGAAAAACAGGCATTATTGATACACCAACACTGAGACGCCTCTCCATAGATCCGACCTGTATCTAAGTTTAGTTTCATTTCTGCTTATCTTCATAGAGATAGATGAGTTTAATGCTTTACTGCGGAACATTCCAGGTAAAGCAGTAATAGCTCCATGGAGACAAGCTTTTGGAGCATCTTCCACAAGAAAATTTACACAGTGCAGCTTTAATGTTAGGACTAGTTATGGTTCAGACCTGTTTTTACCTAACACGTGGTCTTGCCTTCTGATGGGCATGTAATAGAGATAGGACAAGGCACAACTACCACAACATGAGATGAGATACGAGATTGGGTCCATGAGAATGAGACAAGACAAGATTTTAACACAATTCATTTTCCAATTTTGGCCTCACAATTTTTTTTTTTTTTTATTTCATTTTTTTTTTTTCATTCTAGTCCTGCTTTTCACAGATTTAAGAGATTGAACACATGAACGCATAACTATTTTTCATCCAATCCAAATGTAAACACTTGGAAAGAAATCCTACACAATCATTTTCCTCATGTGTGCACAATCTTGTGGCAATTTTGTCTCGAGAGATCTTGTGGCACGAGATCTTGTACCGTCCCTACCATGTAACAATAACCATAATTTTGGGGACATTGCAATATCCAGAGACTGAACACAGACTAATACAGTTCACGGTTGCATTATATTGAACTACATGCTGTCAGACTGTGTTGTCTTGTTGCAGCAGCGTGGTAAATAAGCAGGGATTACATGATGATGCTCCCTAGCTCCATTTCAGAGCTGTCCACATGGATAAATTACTTTTATTAAACACATTTTAAATCTTTGACAGTAATGATGGCACTAAGATTTCATCAGGACATTTATAGAGAAAAACTGCATTTCTATTGGACTGTTACTTTTTCATTTCAGTTATTTGAGGATTTGCACACAATATTTACATAGCATTGTCACATAATAATGAACAAGCTCTAAAAGAGTTGCCTGAAGCAGAAATAAATGCATCCTCATACAGTGCGGTGCCAATGGGAAAATTTGTCTGTCATGGTCAATGTTAGAGGTGTTAATGGCACAAATTAGCAGCCTCACTTCTGTCAGTCTGCGTCAGGGCAGCTGTGGTGATAGTATTGTAGCACTGCTGAGTATGGAGTGAATGAATAATTGTAAAGCGACTTTGAGTGTCTGGAAAAACTATATATATAAGACTAATCTATTATTATTATTACACCTGACCATATCATACCCTCCTCACATTATCATATTTAATCTTATACCATAGGTCAG